CAGATTAATCTATCCATTCATTTATCTGTAAAACAAAATGTCTAGGTGGCGTATGCTACAGCCCGACCCAAAGGGTTCAGCCGGATTTATCTATCCATCCACTCATCTGTAAACAAAATTGGCTAGGTGGCGCAAGCTACCGCCCGCTCCAAAGGCCTCAGCCGGACTCATCTATTCAGTCATTTATCTATAAAATAAATTAGCTAGGTGGCATAAGCTACCGCCCGACCCAAAGGGTTCAGCCGGATTTATCTATCCATTCATCCATCTGTAAAATAAATTGGCTAGGTGACGGTTCACGTGTTGTTTTGTTCATGATCATGCAGAAAGATGTAAGAAACGAATGCGCCGCTCAACTCTGTTTTGCGCGGACAGTGTGTGACCGCTCGGACGGCAGATACCCGGCCCTCGGCGTTTGGCGTACGGATTATGTCGATCGTTCCGCTAGTCGCACTCTTCCACCGTCATTTTGGATGAGCGTGATTGCAACATCATGTGTACCATATTTACAGCCACCGAGAGTTACTCCAGTACAGTTATCAGCTTTGTTTCTCGCGACCACCGCCTGGGCATTAGAGAGTTTTAGTAGATCGTTCCGATACCTCCGATAGCCCCGATAACGGTATTATGCATGCACAAGGGAGACGGTGGCGGAGTATCGGGTATCGTTATCAGAGTTATGGGAACGATCTACTAAAGCTCTCTATTATTTCCGGCTTCTGGTTGGTCACATTCGAATTTCTGAAGACGCCCTGGAACACGCCCAGCCCGCTTTCGGCCAATAGCGCCTCCCCTTTTGTCGCCTATAAAAATTTACACGGTCTTTTAGAGCGCAGCTTTTAGGGGCCCGTTTCCAGCCTGAGCGGCGTCGGCGTCTGCATAACCGGGGGGGGGGGGGGGGGTCACCCCCCCCCCCCCGAGGTCACGTGACCCCCTTCCCCCGAGATCACGTGACCCCCCCCCCCCGGGGTCGCGTGACTACCTGTAGGTGACGTGCCCCTCAGTACCCTTCCCTACTCCTCCTCAAGAGCTGCGCGCCAATTCGGCGTTACAGGGATTTGTAAACGGCTTTCATTTTTTTTACCGCAAAAATAAACTAGGCATCGGCGAACGCTCATTGTCCGCCCAAAGGTAGAGCTAGAGGTCACAACCAGATGCCAAAGTTTCAGCCCGATCCGATAACTTAATCAAAAGTTATAAGTGATTTTCTGAAAATTTCAATGGGAAAATGGAGCCTATTTTTGCCCGTTTTCGATTTCTGGTGCCATAGAGCAATACTTGCATAGAGCCCCATGTGTTTGAAAACTCCGTCGGCCGCCATTTTCCCATTGAAATTTTCAGAAAATCACTTATAACTTTTGATTAAGTTATCGGATCGGGCTGAAAATTTGGCATATGGTTGTTACCTCTAGCTCTACCTTTGGGCGGAGAATGAGCGTTTGGCGATGCCTAGTTTATTTTTGCGGTAAAAAAGACCGTGTAAATTTTTTTTTTTTTTTTTTTTGACATTTTGTATTTTCCAACAAATGGCCAAACTCTCTACTTATTCGGCTCTGAGCCGTATCAGAGCCGTGTATTGAGAGAGTTTGGTCAATGAGAGGCGCGGGCAGAGTCAGGGCGTGCGGCAGAGTCGGAAAGTGGGCTTGGCATTCTCTCTTGACTAGGGGTGTCGCGAACTTTTGTCGAACCGGATTTTAAGGTCGACCTTTCGGGGTTCGACTGGGTCGAACCGGTTCGACGAACCTTCGAACTTTTCCCCAGATTCAACCGGTTCGACTTTGTGGACAGTGTGGCCAGACCTTGATACAAGCATGTCTAGGTTTGGAGAATGTTTTTTTAAGAAAAGGGTTTTTTTATTTTATAAACAGTTGCAATTAAAAGAAACTAATTCTAATCACTGAAGAGGTTAATAATTTAATTTTTTGTACTGTATTAAGTGAAATAACCAATCAGCGCTGCCCTTAATTTATCCCTTAGCCATTACCATCCAACCCGAAGCCAACTGGTCAGCCTGTCGCGCATGCGCACACGAGTCGAACCTCAATAGACTACTTCCATAAAGCCCTGCATGCAACACGGCGCGCGTTGCACTCTGGGAACTAGTTGGCCAGGGAGGAGGGTGGCATGGTTTCGGTTTCGATCGACACGTCGACAAGAGATTGTTTTCTGGTTCCGAGAGCGTCGTTTGTGGTCACTAAACTAACCTAAATGGTCATACATCGAAGCTTTAGCACAATCCCTAGACGTATAGCTTGTCTTAACACATGCTTGTTGTATTTTTGTACTTGAGCCTTCCTGTTAGCGTTCCAATCGAGGTATGTGGACGAGCCAGTGCTGGGAGTCTCGACGCTGCGAAGCTCGAGTGCTCGGGGATCTTGCTTGTGTACGAATCAACAAGCTGTAGCAAACAATAAGTATGCATACATCGAGCTCGCGCCTTTACATTAGTAGAGAGTTTTAGTAGATCGTTCCGATACCCCCGATAGCCCCGATAACGATACTATGCATGCGCAAGGGAGGCGGTGGCGGAGTATCGGGATATCGTTATCGGAGTCATGGGAACGATCTACTAAAACTCTCTATTGTTGTTGATCAAGAAGTTTGTTTGTTTCGTGCGTCCATAGACGAAATATTACTTTTTGCCCCCACCCGCTTGCATTCCACTAATCTTCAACATCGCGTATGCGCATAAAGTTATCCTGCAATCATATATTCGCGCATACAGACCGTTTTAAGAATGCAAAAGTCGAGCACTTGTGTTAAGAATGTCGCACCGTTCGCCGGAAGTGCCTCAGCCGGGCATGAACCCCTATGCGCACCGCATTGGGGTTCATGCCCGTCCGGCGCACGGTGCGACATTCTTCACACAAGTGCTCGAACGAATTCAAAGCGCATTTGACGGTTGCTAATGGCCATACTATTTGCTATGTGTTTGCTTTCTTCCTGCCTGAGTATGCCGAGATAATTTGAGACACACCGTTCCCGGCACAGATCTCGGGCGTCTGTAAAAACTCGTCCAAAAAGGCTTAGCGAGGAGTAGGGGACGCTTTTTAGGGCCTCCGTCGTAGCTAGCCGATCTGAGCGTTTGCGAAAAGTTAATCTTCTATCAGCATAAAATTTGAGTGGGAGGTATATTGCCGCCCGCAGAGCCGAGAAAGCAACGCTTGGTCACGGTCCTCTAGAAGATTCCCGTTCATTCTCGCACCAGACGTAACTTTCCCTCTGCTTTGTTATTCTCGAGAGTGCCAGTTCATCCTCGCCCCGAGCGCGCGACGCTCAAACTTTCTGTGCCGAACTTTCGAGATAATGACGCACGGCAGATAAGCAGCTACTCGCGACCTTGTCGAGTCAGTCTCAGTCTCGCTCGCGCTCTCTGATTCGCCGCCGAATCGCCGCCTGCTTTTCTGCTGCTTCGACGCTCTTTCGTTACTTATTTTTGGTTGGCACAAGCTCGCCCATTAAACCTTTCTTTTCAGTTCACTGTTCGCGTTCTCGTCGCCTTAATTCGTGACAATATGATGACACGAGGAAGACATCATAGTAACTTTTGTGCAGTAGTGAGGTCAAATTTATTGCGTTTTCTTAAACGTTCATGCGTAAACGCTGGCCTCAAGCCACCTCGGTGGCTCCGAGGCGAGAGCGTCGGCCTACGGATCCCCATGTGGCGGGTTCGAATCCCGGGCGAGGTGCCCGCAATCTGACGGAGGCCTATTGCGGAGAAAGCGCCGAGTAACCGAGCTTTCGGTTGCAAGTCGAAAGATCCCCAGGTGGTCGAAATTAATCCTCAGTCCTCCGCTGGGGCGTGCCAGATGCCCGCCGTTGGTTTGGCACGTAAAACCCCCAAATTTGATTTTGTAAACGCTGGCCTCAACTTTGATAACCTGTGAGGATGCGGCTTGCTTTTCGCCCAATGAAGTAACAAGAAGCGGACGTTTGGCAAACAAAATGCGTGTAAGGCTCCAGACGAACAAATTTGAGTTGTAGTTCACTGGTACTAGACGGGATACTGACATTGAGCTCAAAGATACACTCGTGGGGTGAGGTGACTAAGCCACGACTTACTACGTTCGCATACGCACGCACAATATCCGGTGTTTCGGGAACCAAGGAAAGTGCCCCGGTCTTCGTTTCGCATCGCTCGAGAATGAGTGTATTGTACGTTCGTGAAAAGTCAGATAATCGAAAACGCAAGCAGCGCGTTCGGTCGCGGCGTGGGTAGCATGAGATGAAGCCGCTCAATCGAAACCGAAACTGAGTGGCCAACTAGTTCCCAGAGTGCACTGCGTGGTATTTCGCCGCGGTGGAGCGCGTCGGTTTTGGAAGAAGTCCATACAAGGTTCGTCGAAGTTTCCACCGAAAGTCGAAAAAGTCGAACCTGGTCGAACTCGAACCTCGACCGGTTCGCGACACCCCTACTCTTGACCAACCAGAAGCCGAAAAGAATCCCCTAGCGGTGGTAGCGGCAAACAGTTCTGATCAAAGGTCTATGTTCGTATATGGTTTTAATAAACGCGTAAGAGTGAAGTGTAGTAACTCTTCGTGGTTGAAAATAGAAGCACGTGTTGTTTTGATCATGATCATGCAGAAAGATGTAAGAAACGAATGCGCCGTGCAACTCTGTTTTGCACGGACGTTCGGACGGCAGACTCCCGGCCCTGGGCGCTTGGCGTACGGATCATGTCGATCGTTCCGCTAGTCGCACTCTTCCACCATCATTTTGGATTAATGTGATTGAAACATCACGTGTACCATGTTTTCAGCCATTGAGAGTTACTCCAATGCAGTTATCAGGTTTGTTTCTCGCGACCACCGCCAGGGTATTATTTCCGGCTTCTGGTTGGTCACATTCGAATTTCTGAAGACGCCCCGGAACACGCCCAGCCCGCTTTCGGCCAATGGCGCCTCCTCATTTGTCTCCTATACTTCCCAACGAATGGCCAAACTCTCTACATTTACGGCTTTGAGCCGTATGGGAGGGATGGGAGGTATGGGATTCATCTATCCATTGATCCAGCTTTGACCTTAGGAGGGCGCGCAATACCGCCTTATCCACTCATTCTAGCTGCTACGCTGCTACATGCTATGGATCGATTAAGCGGCTCTGGGACACAAAGTGGGGTAGACTGACGAGTTCGGCCCGTTTGGCGGTTGGACAGTTTGGCCAGTTTGGCTTTCATTTCTAAACCAGCTCAGCTTTCTGCACAAGTAGTTCGCTGTCAGAGCGTCCAGCTGTTATCGGCAGTCAGTGTGGTGCCCTCGTACCAGACAGAGCATGTAACCTACGGTCAGAAAGAGACGGTGTCGCGATGGTGCCATCACGAATCTTCGCGCACTAGGGCCATCCAAGTGACCTCGACAACGGAGCTGCCGCGCGACAGTGCCAGCCGTGCCCGCGGCTAACCGCATGGCCAGGTCGACGACGGCGGCTCCCGACGCCAAGCATCCGCAGGACGACGAGGCCGATGTGTGCCTGGGCAACTTGGGAGCCGAGAACGAGCAGATTGTGACCAACGTGCTCTCCTACTTCAAGGAAGAGGCGACACGCAGCCGGCTCCTGTGCCCGCTGAAGAGGGTCTGCCGGCGCACGGCCCAGGCGACGGGCCTGAGCAAGAGCGCCGTCGTGGGCGCTCTCGGAGATCGGGGCCCGTCGCTCACGCCCGAGCTGGAGTCCGACGACGCCGCCGGGCTGCACAGACTCGCCGGCGACGCGGCGGGCCTGTGCGCCCTGCGCCGACAGATCCTGTTCCACTGCGCCAACTACGGCAAGCCGCCCTCGTTGAGGGTGGTGTGCGACATGATCCGCGAGCAGTGCAACGCGTCGTGCACGCGAAGCGCGGCCGTCACGCTGCTGGATCGGCTGGGGTTCAGGCTCCGGAGGCTGCCCGGCAGCAACGCGAGGCTCCTGCTCGAGGACTCCCAGCAGGTGAGTGCGCTTCAAATGTCTCTTTCCGACGCCTTCGGCACACGCCCGTTGCGACGTGGTTTGGCCACGGCTGCCAGGCTCGAAGGGTTATCGAATGAGCGTTGGAGGCGGAATGAGTGGCCCTCCTGCCGTTCCCATTTTGCCAGTCAGCATTCGGCGTCGGAAAAAGCGAAACGGCCGCAAACTTGATCTCGCCCGGTGCGGCTACGTGCTGGGCCCTCCTCGTGGCCACGCTCCCACGCGCCACGAAGTGACCATACGTCTAGGCGCGTTTTAACCTACCCGGTCTACCCCTTCACGCCGTCTCGCGGCGACTGCCTGCGGTGTCTCATTACAAAAATGTTAACTCACCTGGCCCACACGTACCTGACGCTTCGCGGCGGCTCTGCCCGCAGAGGAGTCTTCACCATAGGACAGGCCAGCGACATTAGTACCCGCGTTTCTTCCCATCACATGGTGTATGGTAGCGAGCAACGAGCGGGTGGTATGGATGTCCGCAAACGTAAATGGGTGCGAGATCGCGCCCGCTACACCGGGATGAGTGCAGAGCGTAAAGCCGCCATGGTAGCGCATACCCAAGCTGTGAGGGACAGAGCCTGACAGATTCGGGGACGTGAAAAGCGGGCAATAGCGGCTGGATGCCTTTGCAGCACCAAACCCCGCTCCAAGATGTACGGTGTCCAACGTGTTCTCGTGCTTCGAAAAAGAAGCAACGCACAATCGGCTTCTGTGCCTGCTCAAGGGCATCTGCTGACACAGGGCACAGTGTTCTCGTGCTTCGAGCAAGAAGCGACACGCAGCCGGTGTTTGTGCCAGGGTCTGCCAACTCAAGGCACAGGCCATGGGCCCGAGCAAGAGCAACGCCGTGGCCACGCCAGGTGGTTGCGGCATCTGCGCCCTTCGCCGCCAGATCCTGTTCTACCACGACAAGTATGGGGAGTCTAATCGCTGCAGCGTTCGCGCTACACTGTACGAGAGTGGTGCAAGGCACCCTGCGTAAGGGCCGTGCCGTGTCCCCTCTTCATGGGCGGGTTACAGCTCTGCAAGCTGCCCGGCAGTGGTGTGAGAATCCTGCTCAAGGACTCCCGCAGCTGAGCACACCCTCGGAGGGCTCGAACCGAGGGCTGTCACCCCTCGTTTGGGCCTCGATAAAAACCGGGGCACCCACGATGTTAGCTGAAAGCTGCAATGTCCCTGCTGACAGGGGTAAAAAGAAACTGTGCTGCGAAGAAAAAACAAAAAGGGGGGCATTGTTAGGGCACATGCTCGGGACTATTCCATACACCTGGGGTTGCCCGTGGACATATTCGGTATTGGCAGACTAGCGCTGTTTCTACGTATATTTGAAGAAAATCCCACCGACTTATGTGAACACTTTGTGATCAGAACTGGTGCACTTGCCACCTGCTGTCAGGTGTGGATGGTGTGACACTATATTGCGCCAACGTTCCTGTGGGGAGCAGAGTAACGCCAACGTAAGACACCCTATCCTTTTATCAGGAGACCACTCGTACACTAAGCTGCTGGTCACTGCAACACACCTTAGAACAGTACACGGAGGCCTGCAGGCCACATTAACAGAACTACGTGAAAGATTTTGGCTGCCAGGAGCACGAAGAATCGTGAAGAAGATCCTCGCTCAATGCCGGACCTGTCGGCGGTTCAGCGCAAAGCCAGCCACGGCTCCAGTAGCTCCACTACCACGGGACAGGGTGGAAGAGGGACACCCATTTCAGGTTGTAGGAGTCGACTTTGCGGGGCCGTTATTCGCCAGCTCAAAGGGACAATGTGCTAAAACGTACATTGCTCTCTTCACTTGTGTGACTACTCGTGCAATACACCTCGAGTTAGTATCCTCTACGACCACTGCATCGTTTATCTTGGGTTTGAGGAGATTCGTGGCTAGAAGAGGAATTCCGACCACAATTTATAGCGACAACGGATTAACATTTAAAAGAGCAGCGAAGGATCTGAAAGCTCAATGGGAGGCTATTCGCAGTACTGGATCACAAGACTTCTGCAGTACCCACCAAATAACCTGGAAGTTCATCGTAGAGCGGGCCGCCTGGTGGGGCGGCTGGTGGGAAAGAATGGTGCGATCAGTGAAAACGTGCATGAGGAAAGTTCTGGGACGACAAAGTCTGTCTTTTGAAGAGCTAACTACCGTACTGACCGACATCGAAGCAGCGATCAACTCTAGACCCTTGACCTACTTGCACGCAGATAACAGCGAACCAACAGCCTTAACTCCGGCTCACTTACTCATCAGACGACGATTGACAACCCTGCCAGAGACGTAGCCGCCACACCCAATCGCGTCCTCAAGAGATGCGCTTTCAGGACGGTGGCAATATTGACAGAAGCTCATGAACAATTTCTGGGTACGCTGGAAAAAAAAAACCTCCTAGAGCTTCGATCAGCACACCTAGCAACGCCTCTTAACGGCCGACCACCGAAAATCGGAGGCGTGGCACTCCTGCACGACGACATTGCCCCGAGACATCTGTGGACCTTGGTTCGTGTCATTGATGTGCTATCTGGAAGAGACGGAAATGTGAGGGCATGTACCATAAAACTACCATCCGGTTCAGTGACACGAAGACCAGTACAACTGCTGTACCCATTGGAAGCCATTTGAACTTCAATGTATTTTCCTCGCGTTGTGGGGGCGGGGAGGATATATGTAAAATAATTGTAACTGAACAGAGACTGACATAAGACTCTTGTCCGCTTACAAAGAAGAAGATCAAAGGGCAGGGGCTGGCACGAGGGGAACGATTGGGTCAGTAAAACGAAGATTCCCAACGAAGTCGGTTGTTGTCTTTCACAAATCGACCTCACAAGGTCACCGACAAAGTCATCAGTCGACGATGTCTTTGTCGGTGACGACGACGAAGACGTCGTCACCGACACAGACGACAAAGAGAGCTTCAATATGCAACAATTGGTATAAAGTTGTGATGAGCCAGTCTATAAAGCAAGAGCCTGGGGGCCACTGACCAAACAAAACAAAAAAAACAACTCGCCAACCTATAGTGGTGGCGCCCTGCATCCACGGCATTTCCCACGGATGATAGCAGATTGCTGGCAGGCAAGTCATCCAGGTGGCGTGTTCTGCACCGAGTAAGGCTTGTTTTATGTGCCGCAGAGTAAACCGAGAGGCAAGCAACAACGGAGGAGTGTGTAGAACCGCTCCGCAGATGAATTATTCCGCACGTGAGAAAGGGGTTGTGTATAGCATTCTATTAACATGCGGTAGGTGCTTTAGAGGACTAACTGGCTGTCGCATCATTGAAAGAACAAGAGAACATGCTGCTTCAGTGAAAAACATAGCAGCCGCGAGACACCTACCAGTTTGTTGTCCGGAGTACCAATGCATTGAAAAGTTGCGTAAGATAATAATAGTAATAATAATCTTTTATTTTCCTTTTTTCATTACAAAACAAAAAAAGGTGGAAAAGAGGGCAAAAAGCTGCTACTGCAGCTTGACGAGGCCCTAGTTCCCGTACACACCTTGGTGGAAAAACAGCGTAAAATAAAAATACACTTCACCCCAAAAATCAAATATACACCAGCATTTAATATACTTAGAAAGATAACTAAAAGACATATGCCACTCAGATAGAAACAATGTCAGAACACATGCGTGGCACTATGCGGTATCGTATAGAAAGTGGGATTGTAGTAGTATGTCCGCTAACATTCGATTCGACTTTCCAAATATACACACATGCTTCAAGTTCAACATCATTGGAAAAAACAATGACCAGCTTATGTGCAAATTAATGGAGGTGCTGGCCATTCGAGGAAAGGTTGGTGATTGCGTCGTTAAAAAGGTACTCCGGCGTTTTCTTCATAGTCCCCAATTTTCCTAGAAACTTGCTAAACACGCCAACAAACATCGCTGAAATAGTAACCCAAATATTTGGCCAAAATAACTTTTTTTTGCAAAGTTATAGAATTTACAATTTTTGTCCTCATTGTGTTTTTCAAAGTGAAAAGCTCTACCGGCACCATTGAAAAAGTGACGTCAGTGGAAGGCAGGGGTTCACTCTTGGGGCTGTAGACTTTGTTCCCAACTGATTACAAACAGTTTCATGGTGTCAAATGAATGCTCTGGAAGGTCGTTCCAGCTCCCGCGCAGCGCACGAAAGGAATGCTCGGCATAGTTCAGTTTTAGACAGCCTGTCGAACTTCAAGCCTGCCATCCCATGACATGGGCAGCACAGGTGCACCGGGACCATCGCCGTCCGCGTTACGCCCCCCCATTTGGAAGCAACCCAAATGTGTGGGAAAGGCCTTTTCCTCTCGATTATTGTACAAACTCTGGATTGCAGGCTGCAGCGCGGGTGGGCTTCCTGCGCAAGCTGCGCGAGTTCCGGACGGAGGGCCGGGAGGTGGTGTACCTGGCGAGCAGGCAGCTGCCCCAGCGGGGTGCCGGGGGGGGCCTGCTCCTGGTGCACGCGGGCCACCTGGCCCAGCTGCTGCCCCTGCGGGACATGCTGCGGGCGCACGGGCCCCCCGGGGCGGCCGTGTCCCAGGAGGACCTGCGCTGCTGGCTCGTGCGCAAGCTCGGCCCCTTCCTGCCCAAGGAGAGCGCGGTCGTCGCCTTCCAGGTCTGCCTCCTGCCGCGAGTGCCCTACGTGCGTGGCTGTCTGGCACGGGACGTTTTGTTACCACGTCGTGCCACATCGCAATGTCGCTTGATGTGCTGTCGTGCGACATTAATTTTGCCTACCGCAAAAATTTTGAAAAAAACTATTTGAAAATACCAAATGTTTTTTTGTGTCCTGTAAATTTAATATGCAATACAAAGGCCAAAAATAAATGCCAAAATATTTATTATATGAGAAATTTTTGACACACTGCTAAAGAAAAAGGCACTAAAGTTCCGCTTTACTGCATTACCGCAGACAGTTCACATCGCCTTGCACACAGACGTTCAAGACGGGCGTAGCAGTACTGCAGACAGTTCACATCACCTTGCACGCTACGTGAACGCAAAACGTGTTGGGGCTGGAGGGGGATTTTCTTCACTGATTCTAGTCCATGTCGACATGATGTCCTCATTGAAATCAGAGTCGTCTGAGCTCAAATCCAATAACTCAGTGGCATTGCTCTCGCTGTTCGATGAAGGATTCATTTCCTCGTCTTCTGAATGTGAAGAGACGTCACAATAACTTCGTTTTTGCCTCAGTTTTGAGGCTAGATCGTCACTATGAACGCAGCGACCAGAAGTTGATGTCGCAATTTCACATCCCCTGCTGCCTGCGTTGGAACAATTTTCTGCCAAATTCAGAAATTTACCAGGTTTTTATTTTCCGTGAAGCGCCATCTATCTACGGCAAAGCTCACTAGAAACACGTGGACTAGCCCAGTTTGTCTATGGTAGCGTATTGGAGCCCGAACGAACGTGGACGAGCCCAGCTCGTCTTTGGGGGGAGCGGTACAAACAGTGTGGACGAACCCAGGTCGTCCATGGTAGGGAAAGGGTTAATGCCATACCATAATGCCTTTAAAAAAACCTAAAAAGAAAAATTTTTTTTTTTACATTATCTGTTGGGACATAAATGCCAAAAAATAAATTTTACGCGGAAAAAAAAAAAAAAAACCAAATTTAGAACAATATTGATGGCGAAAGATTTATATTATATTCTGCGTGCAAAGTACATGACGTCATGGAGTAGTCATTCGCTCTTTCGACCTCAACGAGATGGTCATTCGCGCAACGTGAAGGCGAAGCCGATCCATCTCTCCTCGACACGCCCGAAATGCTGAGAGAAAACAGGTGGAAAGGAGGTGACTACCAACTAAATCGCGTCTCGCACCGTCAATATTGCTCTAAAAAAATTGTTTTGTTTTTTTTTCGCACCAAATTAATTTTTTGACACGCATGTCCCGGCCAGACTGTTTAAAAAAAAAACATTTTGTTTTCTTTTCAGTGGTTTGTTAAGACTGACTTTTGCAAATCTTAAGAATTATAATGTTGCCAAGATTTATAGACTGGTGCATAAGCCTCCCCTCTAAGAGCCCTTATTTCTGTCCTTTAGAATTGGAGAAAAATTGGGGTTGTGAAAACAAAGGAGAGAACACCAGCAGCATCCATTGTACGCCCAGTACGAATGCTCCAAACCTCCAGCCCTCTTCATTTAGTGCTCCTTCGGGAGAAGTCTCTGATTTTTGTCTACTTCCACCAGTGGGGGCACGTTGCAGTAGTAGCTATGCTCCGTAAATTGCAAACCTTTCTTGGGCACCTTCGACAAGTTACACCAGCAGAGAAGGCAATCCAATTTTCTGGGAGTCAAAAACACTCCTTCAGTGTGGAAGGGTGTACAACCGTGCATCGAGCATTGGAAAATAAAAAGTGAGAAATAGAGCTTGCTGAATGCTGATTGAAAACATATCCGTGGCAGTAAAATTTACAAAATACAACTGCGGTCCGTTTTTGTATTGGACCCCGACATTCTAAGAAATTAGATGCATCATTAGTTGCATTTTTTTTTTTTCAGCTTTTAGTTTTTGAGGGAACTTACTGTGGTCTTGGGTATTGGAAAAGGGTTAATGAATCACACTGGTTCGGTCTAACTGGGCTGGGCCATAAGTTTAATTTTGCGGTTTGGTTCATACCTCTAACTAGGCCCAAAATGTTTGTGAATGCAGTTAATGCAGTTTAAATTAACGCAATGTTAACTTTAGCAGTGGAATGAAAGCTTGGGAGTGAGTTTAGCTGGATTTTTTAATACACATTTATCCTCTACATGCTGACTTTATATCATCATAAATGTTTACATGTGGGATTCGTTGATGCTCAGCTTTGTAATTCAAATGCTTTGTAAATGATACTAAGAGGGGTTACACAGAAGTTGGAAAGCAAAGATGTACCATATTTTTTTTCAGCGGGCGAACACATGAATCTTGACGGTTTTTACAATAGAATGAACAAGAATAGGGTTGTGCTCCAAAAGTGTCTTTGTTACTCGAAAAAAATCTTTTGGCAGCTTCGACGGGTGCTTCAAAATTACTCGAACCAATCACATCACTGGTTCTGTCTTTACCGTCTATTTATCAGGGTCGGTGGACATTAGATGAGGGGATAATTGCCGCAGTAAGTTGACTAATTAACTAAAATCTGTTAATTATTCATTTTAAGGGTTATGCTGCAACCGCAATATTGATGGCAATTGCTATTAGAAGCCAAACCAATTTAAAAATTTTGCAAAAAAATTTTTTTTTTTTCAGGTATTAATAGATTAATTTTTGCTTTTCTTTGCTCGATTTCAAAATTGCACTCTAAAGGAGTGTTGCAAACCTTGCCCACAATGACGCTTGGAAGAGTGACGTAGTCAAGGAGGTTAGAAGTACTAGGAGGGGGCACGTTGCAATATTGGTGAAGCCTAGTCATAAGAAGTTTAAACGGTTTTGTGCCCAGCGTGACCGCAGATCTCTCTGGCGATTGGTGCGCGTGACATGTCACGTGTGAGATGGGTGGTTGATTGTAGAAGGACTCCTTGCAGGCTTGCGCGCGCTCCGTCCGGTAGGTTTTATCAGATCGAAGGCTAGACTGCGGTGTATTCTAGTAGCCGATAGCAAGACGAAGGCTAGCTACGGTCACGTGATGTGGTCACGTTGGCATGGTAAGTGAGGAGAGTAAGGAGGAAAACGAGAAAGAGGCGAGGCGTCAAGGGAGCATGGCTTGTGGAGGCTACGCGGCCGACGTCATGCCCTCTCCTACCTTTCTATTCTCCATGGACGTAGTGGTTTCATTTGTGTCGTCACTATCTTGGCGGCACGTCCTTAGTGCGTGCGCCGACGACAAGTGACGACGTGACTGTAATGGCTACGTCACTCTTCCAAGTGTCATTGGAGGCAGGGCTTGCAATACTCTCTGTAAGCAAAATTTTTGAATCGTGCCAAGAAATAAGGAAGATGATTGTTACAATCTAGAAACCCATTACCTTTTTGCAAATTCTTTAAATTCGTCTGGCCTCTAATAGTAATTGCCGTCAATACTGCAATTTCAACATGATCCCTAAGATCAATGTTTAAAAAGTTAATTAGCTGATTCGAGTTAATAAGTCAACTTACTGTGACGATTATTCCCTCGTGTAATATCCTCCAAGCCTGATAAATACTCGGTGAGAACAGAACTTACCTAAGTTTTTTAAAATTCCGTTGGAATTAAAATGAAACGCCCTCTATCTTCAATGGACGAGACATCTGCAAGAGCTCGGTTAGTGCCTGGAGCCCAGCTTTGTTGACTGCTGCATATATTTGGTAGGGATGGTGTTACGACGCACCTGCTATCACACTTGGCTCGATTTAGCCACTTGGCTGGCTTGGCACGCACTGCACTCAATCACACTTTTTCCGACCATGCAAAGAGTAGGTAAAAGCGACGAAGCATGCACAGCTGCAGTTTAAGCTCGGTTAACATAGTCCCGAGGTTTTTTTCGTGCCTCCGGAGTATTAGACTTTTGCGGCGCGCAAAAAATACTTCGAATGAACCAGACCTGCAAGTTAAACTTGGAATTACCGAATGTTTTTTCCTTATACTCGTACGTACGATTGTACGTACTGCATCTCTGCTTTGAAGTAACCAGCAATCGTAATAATGAAACGGAATTACGGACATAAAGAAAGTTGGGCGAGCTGTCAAATAATGACCGCTTTGAGGCAAAACAAATGTGCCTGTCCCGTTTTCTTTTTCTGCCGCTCTCCTCCTTTATTTGGCGACATTAGGATTTTCCACGCTCTGGTGTCGTCTTCACCCCCTGATGGTAACTCGCCTTAGATCCGACCGCAATGGACGTCCCGGTCAATCCGGCTCGTTGAACTACGCTTTCCGCACGTCGGGGCGTCCCAAGGTCGGTGGATTGGATTGGCTTTGAGGACTGGTGGCATCCGCTGCGACCGGAGTGTAGCTCGAATGGTACACCTCGACGTCCTCTTTGGGGTGGTGCCATTCTTTGTATGCCCGATGGCACGCACTTGCAGGGAAAAAAACAAATGGCTGGTGACTAAGTGGTGCCGCAGCTTTGTTGGCGACGAAGATACCGCAGCCGCTTTAAAAATTGGGGTTCCGCCAGACTCCCATACCGCCACAGCGTTGCGCAGAGGTTGCGGTACGAGTGGAAGGGAACGGCGAAGAAGGAATCATGAAGCTTACCGCTTTTTTTAAGTTCTCGGCGAGTAACGTTGCGGCCAACGAGACGGTGGCAGCGGTGGATGAGAGCGCCGTAGAACGAGGCGAGACGACGATGAGCCCCGCATTTGTAGAGCTGTGGGCGGCCATTGCGTCGCAGGTGCCCTTCTACCGGGTGCTGGCGGAAGGGGGCGGCGGCTTCTGGCTGGACAAGGTGCTGGAGGAGCAGGGCCACGCCGTGCTGCGGCCCCCGCCCCAGCTGCTGGACCTGAACCCCATGGAGAACGTCTGGTATGTCCCCTCTGCTAGTGTAGGGGCGACGAATCCCTCGAGTAATCGAATGGACCCGTTCTCCGACGTTGTTGCGAGGATTACCCCATTTGCCGGCATTTAAAGGCTCTCGCCGCCGCTCGTGGCCGCCCGCACTACGACCTCTGGTGATCTCTCGCGACGGGAGAACACCGTCTGCCAGGTATCCGTGGAGCGCTCGCCATTTCTCTCTCTCTTTTTCTTTCCTTTCGCTCGTCCTTCTTTTATCCTTAGCTCGTAAAACTTTCAACGGCGTCATAACCTTTCTTCCTAGATGGTACATACGTTTAGACGGTGTGCGCATTTGATCTCGCAAATATTGGAAAACCCTGGCCCTAGTAACATGCAGTTTCACCCCGTAGATGGCACTGGCGTGCTGACGTGTCCTCGCGTCTCGGGAGGTCATGAGGAACACGTTCGTAAGCGGTTGCAAACGTGCGAACTGGCCCCAAGTCTCGTTATTAAAGCGATGGTTCTTAGTGGGAATTTCTTCGGAAAATTGCGCGGTTGTCCTTTGGAAAAACTCTTGGCACCGTTGTCGATCGCACGATTGGGCCTGAACGCTGTCGCCGAGTTTAAAAGAAAAAATAAGTTGCAATAAAGTGGAGATTTGGGCCAGTTGGTTCGTTGCAAAAGAAAAAACAGTGCCGAAAAACACAGGGACACTGTTGATGGGAAACGGGAAGAGGCACTCTCAACCGGAGTTCAAACTCATCTATACATAAGGACAAGGATGTGTCACTTAGACAATTCTTCTCCCTGGTCCTAATTTCAAACGCCTCATGTAATACTCGCGACACTTTATGCTTGTGTCTAGCCAAAATCTCGGTGTTATTGAAGGCTGGGGTGCACAAGCATCTGTTACAATCAATTCCAAGATGCCCCGAAGGCGGCGTTCTTGTAGAGGCTGCGTGCTCGCGGGTGGGATCATTTACGCACTTGTCCGTCTGGCCCACGTATGTCTTCCCGCACATCATGGGAATTTCGTAGTCGACGCCAGTAGCACATTCGGTGTTTAGTAGTGCACGGACCTGATGATGGCTGTGGGGAATTTCTCTGGCGACAAAGTTGCGTCATCTTACTGGGCGCTGAAAGAACTATTGGAGCATGGTAGCGCTGGGCAACCTTTTTTAGGTTGTGCCTGTCATTGTGCATATAGAATGACAACAGGCCTCGAAATCAGTCTATCGCCGTTTGATTTCTGATTACCTTTAATCTTTTTTGTTTAGCTTCCTGCCACCTCAACCTAAGATCTCAGCGGAAAACCAGCCTTCTGCAGGCGCTCTATCTGCAGACGCGTCGGTGGAAGGGAGAAAGACCCGCAATCGCTACCTTTTTCCTCATTATTGAGCGTAGAGCAAGGCAACCTCCACCTAAATTCCGTCTGGCAAACAAATATTGCGCTTAATAAAGTATGTCTTTTCCAGGCCCTCAAAAATAATGTTTTTCATCTTACACACGTTAAAAGAAGGTTGGTGGCCAGGAGGACCGAGCGAGGAGTGAGGCTCTTCCTCCCCGGCAGGTGCACCCTGCACGAGCAGCTGGGGGACGTGGGGGGCGGGGCAGGGGCCCTGTCCCTGCTGGCGGAGCTGGCCGGGTCGGCCTCCCTGCACCTGGCCCTCATGCGCACCTGGACCCAGAGCCTGGCAGACGTGCAGGAGGCCGAGGACGCCCTGCTCGAGTGCAGCCTCGAGGTGGACTCCAAGGTACCCTCGCTCCCTCCACCCATTTGCCTAGCATCCGTCCCCGAGGTCTCTCCGTCTGGCGTGCTTACCGTGTCTCCAAAAGTGCCCGACGACCTCGTAAAGTTGCGGCAGCGGTGGTGGATGCGGAGGTAGCTTTCCGGTGTCCGCGAAAGCTTCGGCAGCCAGAAGTTGGGGCAACATTTCTACTACTAACCACCAGAGTAGCGACGTCCGACGACTTGGGCTTCCGCGACGTCATTTGTCGCCACTTCAAAACCACTCTAGATGGCAGAATAGGACGCACTCCCGGAAGACGCATTCCAGGCGCCGTAATGGCGAGCAACAAATTTCTAATTAGAACGTGCTATAGGGAAGATTGATTCGCTCGCTAATCGCCGCTTTACACTCGACGTCTGCCACGGTCAGTAAAGCTGTTGCGAAGAAATCGTTTCTTTATTAAGGGTGCTCTTAGTTTTTAACTATTCTCACTCGCCCTATAGACCTTTGCATTTCGGTAGTTGCCCGACCAGCGGTTAGGGTGCTGGCACACTCGCCGCCATTAGGCTGCTTCAATTTGGTTGGTTTCGGTCTCAACGTGGAAGCGATTGTGTAGCTGTTTCGTGCCGTTTTCGCTTCATTTTGCGATACAAATTTCTTCCTCGTAAGCGCGCAACAAATCAAACAAGGGCATCAAGTCACTCGGAGGACCACGAAGTGGTTTGGAGGCTAAACTGCAAGTTCTTTTTACAAACGCCATATGCGTCCGATTACGTTGTTCATTAATTTTGGCTGGCGGCGAAGCATTGGAGCTGGTGCATGGGAAGGATTACCTTCGTCCACGGCCGTACCCTCCGATACTAGTTTCCATAAAACGAAACTAGGTGTCTGCTGCCGACAAGGAGGATAAGCTCCGCTTACGGCTCATTGAATGCCGCCGCACTTTGGCCGAGTGGTACGGAAGAACTCGTACTCGGAGCGTCTGCTGCTCATCTTATATTGCAACGCTCGAGCACATAGTGTAGCTCGACAACATGATAAAGAATGTTCCCAGTCCAGTGTTGGGAAGTACTCTAAGCACATCGTAGTACTGCCTCGAGTAGGTTGAGAAAACTTGTACTTTACTTGGAGTACATTCTCCAAATATGTACTTCGGTCATGAGCGGCGCACGATTCAGTGCTCCAAATGTTTCGTGCGGTGGAGTTCGATACAAACGCACATGCCCTATATCTCTACATGAAATTTTCAAGGAGATGTTTTGGTTGTTGGAAATGGGCAATATTTCTAAATACCCGGGTTTGATATATTTGGCCTCAACTGCACCACATTTTCGGGTCTATAATTTGCAGGGCCAAGTTCCGGGGGAAGAATAAGTTTTTCTTAGATTGTCCGTGCCAGAGGCGTAGTTCGCACCCAGCGCCTAGTCAGCATGTAAAGAATTATTGAACAGTGCACACCTCAGGGACGGCGCCAAAGGGAGGCAAGGGGTGGCGACTGCCTCCCCTCCAATTTGTCTTGCCACCCCAAAATAAAATACCCCCCCCCCCCCCCAGTAACCAGCCGCCCGTCGTTTTCCTAATTTCCGCCCCAAAAGATTTCGACGCCTACGTGCCAAAATCCCAAAATCTTGCTTTTTTTTTTTTTTTTTGGTAATGGGCAGGAGGATAACTTTTTATTCTGAGCAAGCAGGTGAGGCACAAGAGGCAGCGGCCGAAGAACAAACAATTCTTTGTGTGACCGACCTGCTTTATTACCTTTCCGTAGCCCACGAAAAATGAAAGCTTTCTTGCCTCTCGTCGAAGCCGAGGGGAAGGAGCTCAGCCGTTCGCCCCTCTCGGTTTCTACACGTTGTAACGCGGCCCCAACCTTCTAATAACGGTGCCCACGAGTCCCTGAGATAACACCCTGTCCCGCATTCCCATGGGTTTCTCCGCATCGCCAGCAGGATAAGCTGACCTTCGGTGCTATCCCGGTTCCCTCAAAACAGCAAGGCCGCGACCGGTCAATCACGGGTGAGCCGTCTCTGGCCGTTGCCAGAGACGGCTCTCCGGCAAGCGCGGTGCCCGGGGGATTAGCTGCTTGGCGGCCAAGGACCTTGGCTGAACGCTGAGCTGGCTGAGCCGGGGAGCCCACCCTTTCCACGAGAGCGACACTGCTGGTGACATCGCCGTGGCGGGAAAGAAACCTTCACTTTCTCCCTTTCTTTCTCACCCATGAGGGGAGAAAAAGGACGCTGAAGCTGGAAGCATTGTGGAGAGCTATACTCTTGGGTACGCCATGGCATCCAGTCGTCCAATAAGTGACTTTTTTCAACGAAAGGGGACCAAGCGAAAAGTTCAAGAGAATGTCACCGAACCTGAACCCGCCAAAGAAAAGCTTTCACTTGATGAAACGTGTGTGCTCAACGCAAGCGCCGGGGAACAAGAATGCGAGTCAACTTTTGGTGATAGCGATGGGGATGGCCCGGATGACGAGTTCCAGATCGAAGAACTCCGAACGAGAGCTCCTGATATAAAGGTCGAAATACCTCCTGATGTAGCCTGGACAGCCCATGATTCGCCGGTACAGCCTGTGCTACAATCCTTTCCTGTTATTAAATACGGGAGCGACGGCAGGACCTTCAAGTCCGAATGGTACACCAGCTTCCCATGGTTGGAATACAGCGTTACTTCGAACTCGGCATTCTGTTTCGCCTGCCGGATGTTTTCGACTAGCAATGGACAGAGGAGTGGAAGTGCTGTGTTTGTGACCGAGGGCTATCGGAACTGAAAGAAAGCGCTTCAAAGGGACGGCGGACTGCGACTCCATTCGAACAGTGCGGCGCACAAGTTGTGCCAGGCCTCATGGGCATCCTTCAAGCAGATGAAGGAAGAGGGCGCCGAAAATTCAGTCGCCGTGCACCTCAGCGAGGCGTATTTGAAAGAGGTAAGAGAAAACCGCCACTTTATTTCTGTGATAGCTGACGTGCTGAGGTTTTCTGCAACACAGGGGATTGCCCAGAGAGCGGACGATGAGTCAGCCTCAAGTGAAAACAAAGGAAACTTTCTCGAGCTCCTTCAGCTTGTAGCGAAAAGCGATGCCATTGTACTAAAAAAGCTGGAAAATGGCCCTGCCAACGCGAAATATACTCACCATTCCGTTCAGGATGAGATACTCTCAGCAATGTCAGATATGGTTTTGTGTCCTTTCAAGACCGAGGTGGACAGCGCTCAGTGCTTTGCGCTTATAGTGGACGAATCTAGAGATATCAGCAAAACGGAACAGCTCTCTGTGGTAGTCCGGTATTTCCTGAACGGATCCGTCTACGAAAGATTTCTTGGGTTTAGGAGTGCCAAAACGCTAGACGCTGCCTCTCTCCTGAGCTACGTTAAGGAAACACTCTCCAGATGTGGAATTCATCTTGAGAACTGCATCGCACAAACCTATGACGGTGCAAGCGTAATGAGTGGCGAGAGCAAAGGTGTTCAAGCCCTTCTCAAGTTAAAAGTACCTCAAGCCCTGTATGTCCACTGCTTCAACCACCAGCTGAATTTGGTTATTGTCGATGCCTGCAAGAGCTTTGATTCCGCGAGGACCTTTTTCTCTTTAATAGAGATGTTGTATGTCTTCTTGGGAGGGTCTGCCACACATGCGCTGTTCATTACAGTTCAAAAGCAGGTGTGCGGCACAACGATTGAACTGAAAGGAATCAGCGAAACAAGATGGACATGCCAAATTAACGCATGCAAAGCCGTCCTACACGCGCTTCCTGCAATAATTGTCACACTCACAAAGATCGCCGAAGGCGGAAGATCAAGATCAGCAGAAGCACGCGGAATTTTGCACCAGCTGAACTTCAAGTTAGTTTCACATCTGTGTATCTTTAGCGAGGTTTTGGGTGAGCTGCAGATTCTTTCAGATTACCTGCAGAACAAGAACTGCGACCTTACTCATGCCTCCATGATGGTCAGTGCGGTACTTGAGCGATTTAGATACCTAAGGACGTCAGAGGGTTTCTCAGGCATTTAGAGCCAGTGCTTAAGCGTTGCAGAGACAAACGGAATTCGTCTCGTAGAAGAGTGAAGAATCAGCCGTCTGCCGGCGCACCTTGCAAAATATGTAACAGAAGCCCAGCTGCCCGGAGAGGAGCCCCTCCACTGAAAACGACTGCCGTGTGCACGTGTTCCTTCCCATCCTGGATAGAATGTGCGAAGAACTTAAGCGAAGATTTACCGACAGTGATCTCATCCTGAAGGGCTTGAACTGTTTTCAACCTCAACACGATCGCTTCGTGGACATCTCGCTGGTCGAACCGCTAGCAAAGCACTACTCGTCCGACTGGGATGCACTTGTGGCCGAGATGAAACTGCTTCCCAGGGTTTTACAGCGATATGAAAACAAGAATGGGTGCAGTGTGACCACCACAATTATGTTTGCCAAATTTTTAGGCAAATTTAAAATTGCCTTTCAGGAATCGTACCGTCTTTGTGTTATAGCGTTGACTATCCCTGCCTCCAGCGCCGCCTGCGAACGCACGTTCTCGTGCCTTCGTCGGCTGAAGACGTATCTCCGAAACAGAATGTCGGACAAGAGGCTCGCGAACTTGGCGGTTCTCGCCGTGGAGAAGACCACCGCGAAAAGCCTGGAACTAGATGACGTTGTCAACGCCTTCGATGCTGCCCATCACGACAGACGGATTCAACTTCACTGAACTTTGGGGGACGAGTGCGAACGTGCCTTAATGTGAAATTTCAGAATGTAAATATTTGTAAATAACGAACATGTGCAATGTAATTCAGGTTGTAAGTACACTGACAACCAAAGAAATAAACTGAGGTGATAAAAATGTTATAAAATATTTCGAAGTGCTTGGTTCTTCCAGTTTTACGTCGTTGGCAGTGACTATTCTACGCAGCCATCGACCATTACTTTTTTTATAATCCACCTTTTAAACATGTCGTGAAAGGAGACGGCGGCAAGGCGATTTGCCTTTTTGTTTACACAATTCTCGGGTAGCTGCACGACATTAATAACCTCCAGCTCACTTCCAGGGTTTACTGGCCGCCAACGCTTATTTTAGCTGTCAGAACCGACCTCCCGGTTTCTCATGAACCTTCCCCCCCCCCCCCCCCCCCCCCGAGAATGTAATACGCCTCCCCACTGCCCCCCCCAATCTGGAAAGCCTGGCGCCGTCCCTGGCACACCTTGGTGTATCCCCACCTTATTAGAGTGCGTAAGAGCTTGTGTCGTACATAAATTATTATTAGCATAATCTGTCATTCACAAACTCCGTCACACCTCGTCACTATAAACAATGCTAGAAAATCCTCGTATTGTCTGCACCTGCCTGCAAACTATAGTCCAGAAAATATGGCAAACTAGTTGAAAGCAGAGCTTGTTTGTTTGCACTCCCCCGAGGTTTGCCGTCTTGCACGCAGCTGGAAACCCTCCTGCTGACGGAAAAAGTCCCGGGCACCGAATCGGACGACGCCAGCGACATGGACACGGACTGCGACGAGCCCGAAGCGCCGCCCGCCAATTGCGACGTTCCCGCCACGGCGTCGCCTCCCGCTGATCCGACGGACGAGCACCCTCCGCAAGAGGGTGCCACCGTCCCTTCGGACGAGCCGGCCGCCGATCCGCAGAGGAGCGCGGAGGCGGTGTCCCCGCCCGTCGAGGTTCCACCACCCAACGACACTCTGGCGAGGCTCGAAGACTTTGCCTGGATCCACTCACACGTGGACCCCTCCGTGTGGAGCGACGTCACGCAACTCGTCTCGGAAGTGCGAGAGTTTCCCGGATTGACTCAGTGACTCGGGCAATCTGCTCGCAAGGAAGCGGCAACGGCGGAGTGCGCGAGTTTCCTCGATGCTCGGTGATACGACTAATTATCTCGAGGTGAAGCAGCTACAACGAATCGCACCATTTTGTCCGATACTTTGGCGACGCGAGCGATTGTCTCGAGACAAAGCGGCTAATGGCGCCAGAATTTAGTTTTCTCTCGTGCCAGTTCGTATCGAATGCCACTTTAGTCGCACGCTCGACCGTGATCGGGAATCTGGTCGAGAGATGATCCGGACGCGATTGAAAAATTATTGTCCCATATACTCGCAGCAATTCGCTAACTCTCTGCAAACGGGCTTCTCTGACACTGTCGTTTAACATTTGGTGCCGACATGCAACTGCAGCCAAAGAGGCTGACGTACAATACTGAGCAAAATTTTTTATATCGACGACTGCTGGCAGAAATGTTTTTAACACGTCGGTCGTTTCTCCTACCACATTGGTGCGTAGCAGCGAAGCACATTTGCGCCTACGCGAAGCGGCGATGCTCGATGCCAGAGCGCCGGTGTAAAGCAGTGAAGCACGATGCGAGAAACCCGAGAATTCTGAAGATGTTCATAATTTTTGAATATTTGAATAGTTCAAGCAGTAAAAGTGTGCCGTGAATTGAATTGAACAACAAACACTGTTAGCGAATTATGCTAAGTTTTGAACATTTATGCACCTCTGCAAAGTTGTCATCCGAATCTGTCAAATGTCAGGCCAACTGCTACGGTGCCGCGACTTTTTATGCGGTACTGTTACCTCAACACAATCATTCACCGGGCTCTTTCCGCTAATTACGGCGGTTGGCTATACACCCGCCCGTTACGAAGCGGTATAAAAATAATGCGTGTAGTGTTTAAAAACTGCAAAAGGTCTGTTTCATGCTTTTCTCACTATGAGGCACTCCAGAGGTTAGTTAACTGGACGACGCAATGGTGCGATGCCCTTCGACAGAGTAGTCAACCATCGTTGCTTCGATCTCCCGAAGTGCACGCTGCTGATGAGTGAGTGGGATGACCTGTGCTGCCATACATTTCCCGTACGACAAACTTGCAAACAAGAATACTTCGTTGGACCCGAAGAGGGCGAAGCTGGGCTCTGCATTTACTGCTGCGCCCGGAACCAGAGAAGGGTATCGTGGAGGGCCGAGAAATTCTGGCAGCTCTTCAAAGCTGCGCAAGACAGCTTTGTCTGGGTAGCTAGGTTGCAGTGCTAGATTTTCTATGCCTGGGGCACAAGTTGGAGAAGAGTCCAGGTGTGGCACTTATTGCCCAGCTTGCGCCTTTCTATGCGACATAAAAAATCCATTTACTTGTATTTTGTTTCACAATAACTTGACCAATTGTGGAGGTTACAGGCTCCACGACCCAATAAGAGCGTCAAAGTGAGGCACGCGACACCAAATCACGGACCTTGCTGTCGCCGTGCCTCTGCACTGAGGAATCGGCTGTCGTCTCCTGCGAAACCGACCAACTTCGGATGAACGTCCACCGCCGCAACATTGCAGTCCGCTAGAGTAGCGAGCTCTTCGATAACAGCTCGCGAGACAACCTAGAGCCACTACATAAGCTACGCTGCGGCGTAACGACACTTTAGCAGTCTTGGGGCTTAAAATCATGGTTGCCAGTTATCTTAAGCTGTATCTGAAATGGTAGGAAATGCTTTTCTGTACTCCAGAAACATTGAAACAGTTCGCGACAGAGCAAAAGAATATCACCCGAGCTTCCTAACACCGCACCGAAAGCAGAGGAAGTCGCATTTTTTTAATTGTGACGATCGACTGGCATCCGTTCTGCACTCAGCACCAAGATGGCGGCGTCCACTAGCACAGTGACATTCCAGGCATAGAGTTATTCTAATGTATGCTAGAGGTTCACCTGGCGCTAGTGTGCTGCGGCAAATTGAAGCAGACAGCAACCAGTCGAAAATTGACTTTTGGTAATGCATTTTTATGGGAAAAAGAGTGCATTTTCTCCCCTCGCTCGATTATAAGAGCAAATATCACAAATAATTCGTACCCACTAGGCAGTTTGGAACATTTCTCAGTCTCGCAGATGAAATAATTGGCCAGTTACGGCTTTCTTATTCCGAATTCATGGCATTAAAAGCTGCTAAAACCGCTTCGTACATGTATTTATGTGCACTGTCGGGCACTGTTAGCTGAACACGGCGTCTGCGCTTTCCAGCATGGGGGATATACGTGCCAAACGAACGAAGGACAAATGGAAAACCAAGGGACATGGCAAGAACTATGCAGCAACACTGGATAAGTAACTCCTTGTGCATGCAGACGATCAAAACAAATTGAAAGCAACGTAATATATTTCAATTTGCAATAAACAAGTACTCCTTTATTCTTTGCGCTCATGAATATGTGCCAAGATCCTTGTTCTGCGTTCAAAACACCCACACGCTCAAAATCTTTGAAAATAGGGTAAAGCCAGAGAACAGGAGCCCGATAAAAGCTGCCTGGCATAGGAAAGAATAAAACCTTTCATAACCCACATTATTTTTTTATTTTTTGTAAAGATGCATGTCATAGTTACAGAAAGTGCCACCGGAACAATGGCGAACCTTGAACATACTCTACATTCTCTTCCATTGTTATTTTGCTTAAAATCATAGCTTGTTTTTACACACCTGCTGTGGAACAGAGGTTTGGGCCTGAAATACAGCGAAGTTCAGGGGTGGATCCAGAACTCCATTTTGGGGCGGGGAAGGGGGGGGGGCAGAAAATTTGTAAAGATACTATTCTCCCATTCTTTCTTGTGCACCGGGGGCCCACCCATGCCAAATTGGCCTCCAAGAAGGGGGGAGGGGAGGGGGTCGACTTTGGGGGGGCGGGGGGCGGCCGCCCCCGTCGCCCCCCCCCCCCCCCCCTTGGATCCGCCCCTGGCGAAGTTAAACATCATTGACTGATAAAGAAAAATGTGCTAACTAAAGCAATTACACTTTTACAATGTTAGTAAAGGTACATACTATTCGGCACGACCCAAATAACAAGTGTTCCACGTTATTTTCCTACGAAAAGACAACATTCACGCACATTTTCCCATAGGAATGCACAGGAGCACCGCAAAAGTAGACTGGCTGCTGTCTGCTTCAATTTGCCTCCCGGAAGTCGCATAGACACTAGCGCCAGTTGAACCTCTAGCGAACATAACTCTATGACTAGGGGGTCTGCAAAGCCCAGCCTCATCAGTCAAGCCCGGCAATAAAAATTCCATTCTTTCAAATTGAGAGGAAACGTTCCAATTGTCAGGCATGTCAATAAGACAAGTGTACACCGCTAGCTCTTAGTTATATCCATTTATTATATGGCTATCGTAATTGACCTACACGTTTACCCTTACCAGGAACAAGGTCCTCCATCATCTGTGCCATTCCACAAGGAGTCTGCACAACATCAATGGTTGAGAACCACTGCACCAGCAGATCGGGAACGAGTGCCGATACTTCAAGCATAGCTCATTTAGCGGCTCCGAGACAACCTTGCACTCAATTTACCCACAAATATGTGGCGGGTGCCAATGCCAGGCAATGTTTTGAGCAAAGGAGGTTGATTACACGGCTGCAATTGCCTACAAGGATAAAAAAACAAATGGGGAGCAGTACGGATGTGGCGTTACTTTTTTGGTTTACAAGTATAACCGACTCAAATTCAGCAATTTATTTATATTTTTTTTTTTTTTTAGATATTCTCGATAGAAATGGAAAGAAAAGAAGTCCAACTACTTTTTGTTGCGGACGGAGCTGTTGCTGTGGCGGTACCGAGGAATCCGCGGCCTCGGCCATGGAGCGTTATTGCGCTCCCTGGCCGTTGGGGCCGCAGCCTCCGCAGTTTCCAGAATTATCGTTAGACGGAGAGCACAGAGCCCTCGTCCAGGACACGTCCTCGCTGTTCTCCCCACCAGACCTGCCGGTGGGCCACGGCAGATTGCCCTGTCGGAATGCAAGATTGTGCTCTTCGGACGCGACGGAGGAGCCTGGGCGTAGCCATTCGTCCTCCTCCTCGCATTTTCTTTGGTCTCTCACTCGCATTCTCAACGTGAAGGTTGAAAATAAAACGGCGAGTGGAGGGAGTGAACCTGGTCACACCCTTCTGGAAGTCTTGGAGCCCGATTGGTGCACTCGCCTCCAGGCTGCTGGGCCCAAATCACGCCCGACGCTTCGTCGACGTCGTTTCTGCATACATCTGTGATAGGCGCGAGGCCTCCAAGGCGGCCATGGAGACATAAAGACAATAAAACGTGCGTGGTTGTGATTCACCTCTAGTTTTTATTTCGGGCGTGTGGTCAGGCGAGCGAAGACAGGGCAGACTCCAGGGAGTTTGCCAGCGTGGTGGCCACTTTCTCTGCGGAAAAAGGAAGGTCCCTCATGAGAATGACAAACCACGAGGCTCTACCGGGAACGGCAGATGCTTATTTTGGGTATGTTCCGACATGCTGCAGACACAGTCTTAATATTTGATTGCAAAAATATAATTTTCCGCTTAAAGGAGCTGTGCAACGATTTCAACGTTGAAAGAATTTGCATCTTCTAGTTTTGACATTGTTTATCTTGTCACAAAAGACAGAATACACATCTCTTTCCTTCAAAATGTTGCGATTCTGCCGCGTAATCGCGAGGCAATTAGAATATTTCCCGACTTGCATCCGCGAGCAGTGGCCATGAGAATTACGCTACGTAATGTCAATGGGGGACTTGTAAAAATATAGCAAGTTGTGCAAATACCTGCTGGATAAAAGGTAATTTTTCTATAAATCTTGCGTTCCAACATACATACAAATGCTTCAAAAACCTGGTATCATCGACTAAACTTTTATTATACGGAGTTTTAGTGGCACCATCTATACGAGGTCAACAAAACCGTCGGCTCTATCTGATACCGCAAACAAAAGCCGGAGGGGCACAGGGCCGGACGGGGATGGCCGGACCCGGACACGAGACTTTCCTCCTGTCGCCATGTTGATCCCGCTGAACACGCCAACTACATACAAGCACGTGACCGCGAGCAGGTGAGTTCTCGCCGCTCACTGATGGCTCTAGAGAGAAAGCTTCACCGGAACTCCGCGTGGCCCCCATTCATGTCACAGCGCACATGACTCGGAAGATGGTGAAAGAGTTGAGAGGTGCCGAAAACCTCAATCTTTGTTAATTTTTAAAATAAAAACTAGGACATGTGGGCAAAAGCCGTTTTTGTTTTTTACTTCAGAAAGGTCGAGGCACCAACTTTCAAATTATTTCAGCAAAGTACTGAAACTGTTGCACAGCTCCTTTAAATGATACCCAGAATTTTATTTAACTGAAACGAGGCGGTGGCGCCACAGTGCGGGTTTTAGTGGAAGTACTTTGCATAGAAAACCAAACATGGCAGCCGACCTTAGTTTAAAATGTCGTGCCGTAGTAGTTAGTAACGAACTTTGAACATGGTTTGAGCACTTCGTTGAACCATATTCCAGTGTAGATACAGGAAACACGTGGCAGTGCGTTACCGTCATCGACGCTTTCACGATTGAATCCAAGCTTCTTGCCACGCGAGAACACGTATAAGGCAACGCGGGTAGCGCTTTCAATGTCGAGACAGGCGACCTTTACTCCCTAGCGAGATAAAGGAACACAGCTGCACAAAGACGGAGCTGCGACAGACGCATTAGATTGCACTGGACGACGCGACTCTACACATCGTTGCCAGTGGCACTGCCAAGCAGCTGCAGAACGGTGTGCGCCCTCGAGTGTCTCGCATAGTGAATTGAAAGTATCTTCCTAATGCTAGCATTTGAGGTCACAATGTTACAGGGCCTTGGCAGCTGGTTGCCAGCTCCACCAACGACAGCGTCCGTCCATGTGATGCCGAATAGTGAAGCGTCCCCCACTGCGACCTCTTCTAATACGTCCGCAGCATCTGCACCTTCCTGTACTTCTCCATCTTGCTGCAGAGTGAACGTTCTGCACCTTGACGTTGGAAAACCTACCTGCCTCCAGAGTTGCTCACGTTCAATTGTGTCGCCCGCAGTCGAAAGCACCAATGACGGCAATGCCCCTTTGTGTTTTTCCTTTATCTGCGCTAAACTATGTCTCTACGAAGCGCTCGTGCGCTCGATGATCCGGAAATTGCTGCGGGACCCATCTACGGCGCCCATTTCCTACCCTCCAGCCGGGTGCAGCCCGGCATCTCGGAGGCTCGGCAGCCACCCGGTCACGCCAAAAGCGGACTATGTTTTCTAATCATAAATAGTATAAGCTTTTTCGATGCTATAACAGTCGGGGCACGATACCTTTATTGTTCCCAATAAAACAGCAACTAAACACAAAACAAATAAAACCGACGATTCGTCGAGTGATTCCAGCTACGTGTTGTCTGCTTTTGGCGCGACCCCGCGGCTGCCGAGCTGTCATAAGATGCCAGGGCCGCTGCCATCATCTGTCGTTTGTTGCGCCGGTCTGAGGGTGTGCGGACAGCAGATAGGCGCCGTAAGAAACTTTGGATACCGAAGCGGGTGAGTGAAAACCTTACAAAATTGTACTTTATGGAGACTGGCGCTGCACTGAAGGAAGTGTAAGAATAACTTGCAGAAGGTCGTCTCCAATACCCTGCTCGGCGACCCCTGCGCGGTAGGTAGGTGCCCATTGCCGATGCCTCGCCATTTACAAAGTGGTTGAATGCATTACTTGTAGGCTTTAAGTCATTCGCAGGTGAACTCAATAGGCAGTCACGAAGACGCACCCACGATACCTTCGGCACATTGGTCGTTTCTTTGAGAAACGAGCGCTCTTTCTTTCCATCCAAGGGATTGGGAAGGCGTGTGGATCCCGCTTAAGTAAATTTTGAGAGGTACTGCAGTTGGTCCTAGATGGTGAGACTTTTTAAAGTACACGCTACTCACTACGGATCCTCAGAAACGAGCGAAAACAATAGCAACACAGTCGCCCCAGGAAGTTTGGCCGCATTTGTTTTTGTTTAACTCTGTGTAGTTTCCCCCCAATTCAACAGTTCCCTGCGCACCGTTGCGCTTGCGCTTCTTGATCTGCTTCTTAAACTCCTTGCGGCGAGCCTTGTTCTGCTGGTCGAGCACCGGCAATGCCTCGTCCGCCTTGCCCGCTTTTGCCGGCTGCTGCTTCTTCCGGCCCCGGCCCATCTTCACCGTGAACTTCCCCTCCGGCTCCTGCACGTGCAATTTGCAAATGAGCCCAATCGACCTCGGGACCGCCTTCCCTGTCTCAAACACCTCTCGCCTAGTGGGGAACTCTGAAGAGACATTCTTTTAAAAACGGAACTCTATACTTTTAGAGCTCTTGCACCGTAAACCACTTTCGAGGGCTCAATATTTCGCTAATTTCTGAAAGTGGGGGTCTCGGAAATGTTATGCGAGCAAAGATTTAGCATTTCAACATTTTTATTTTGACTCCACTCGTCGGCCGTTTATACGGAGGCCGAGGAAACTACGACGATGCAGTGTGGCGTAATGAGTGATATGTATTCATTACCACGACTTAATATATCCGGGAGACCAATTTTTCGCAATAATTTTCAAGTTGCAAGATTCAGAAAAGCTAGGTTCTCGCAAAAATCGAATCGTTTACAGTAATTGACAAAAACTTGGGGACTTCCCGAATCCTCGCTCGCCTTTGCCCGAAACTCAAAATATTTTCCCAGTTTTAGTCTTCCTTCGCGCCGGTTTGGAATTGTTTGGCATTCTCAGTCTGCAGTTTCCAAAACACCCAAGAAAACAACAGCTTGTTGGGAGAATAAAATGAGAATTGAACAGGTGCCTCGATTGAGCTCATTACATTGGGCTCTTAAGGGGAGACGCGGGTCTTAAAATGGTGAAAAAACGCGAAATTTCACGTTTTTCAAAATTCACATACTTGGATTAATTGTAGTCTAAGGTACCTGCCTGCAAAGTTTCAGTGTCGAATTCAATGTCTAAGCATGCAAAAAATGATGTTTACGATGTCCCCGCAGAGCCCTAACACAGCGAGTTCAATAAAAACAAGTGGAACTTCGCGCCCCACACGTTTCGCGATCGCTCGTCGGATCGCGGCCATCTTGGTCTTGTTGGAAAGCCGCTTATATTCCCCACGTCCCTATTCCATTCGTTATCGCGACAACATCGGGGAACGTCCGCATTCCGCGGGTTTCGAAGGCCCCAATTGCGATCGCTCATTGGCCGGCTAGCAAGGTGCCCATACGTCGGAGCACGCGCGGCGCCTAGCGCTCCTGCTATTGGCCTCAACGCGCCCCTCCGCTCTTTTTCTCCTTTCCTCCTTTCCGTTCCCTCGCTGGCGAGAGGTGCGTCGTCTGCTCCTGGGCCCGTCTTCCGTCCGTCTCCTTAGGCCTGTCTGCTTTGTTTCCTCCGTGGTCTAGCGCACGTTTTAGTTCCCGTTTGCGCGCTTGCGTTGAACATTGTTGGTTCGTTTTCCTACGAAGTCGCGCATGTTTTGTTTCGCTTCGAGTTCTCGAGATGCCGGATGACGCTCGGTTAAAATCGAGCACGCGGCAAGCGTTTGGAAGGAAGAGGAAGCGACCGTGGAACAAGAAGCCGAAGCTGTCTGCTGCAAGTGCGCCACCGCGATTGACGCCACTGCGATCGGCACCGCCGGATGCCTTGGATCTTCCGGAAACATCAGCCGGAGACATCGCGACTCCATGCAGCAGCGGCAGTTTGTCGAGCTTTGCGAGCGCGGTTCATGTCGACACCGCATACTACACGGCCGAGCAGGCGCAAAGAGTCGCACGATCGGACGAATGCAAGCATGCGCTATCGGAAAAGTCGGCGACCCAGCGCAAATCCACCTTCTCGGCATCACCACAGGAGGCCAGACGCGCGACGCTGGGACACAGTTCATTGTAGTGGACATGAAAGCTCTCAAAGCATGGAGAAGGACAATCTGTTTGCATAAGGCCAACGCTGCCCACCAGAGCAGCAGCAATGCAAAGCAGAGGTTCTCCAGGCAACACCAAACTGGAACAGCTGGGGACTACAGTCCTGGACAGCTGTGAGGGGCTCCCCTTTCAAGTACTACACGAACAAAGGCCCTTTTCAGGGCCAAACAAAATCTGCTTTCGGAACGTGCAACTTTTGGTGCCTCCTCCCGTTGTCCCTTATAGAGTCTACTCATTCTTTTATAACTTTATTTTACATTGCAGACATTATTTCTCAGTTTTATATTATTTTTTAAAGGTTCTTGTGAACGGATTGCAGAATTTTTCATCTCAATTTGTTCAGATAGAACTATGCTTCATATTGCTGAACATTATTGCAGGGGATCCCTTACTCAATTTTATGCAATGAGTGTCAAAACTTCAACTGCAATTTTCTCAGCTTTGCATTTTTCGTCTACATGCCTAGCCTTACGGTTGTTTTCATGAGATTATTCTTCGAGGATTTCTATAAACTTTATACCGTTGAATTCAGAAAGAAGTGAACTGCAGGGTGATGCTATTTTTGTATGACAGTATGGGCCCGAAATTGTATTACTAGTGATAATGTGACCTCGTTAGGCTTTCTAAATAGTGTACTTGACCTAATTAGACTAGTTCTATACAAAGATCTATCTTTACAAAAATATAAATAGCATCATCTTGCATGACAGGTCTTTAGCTACAAATCTATATCACTTATGCAAAAAAATTTGTATTAAAAAGTTCCTTAATGAGTCGTAAGAAATGACCTAATTAGGCTTCATTATTTTCTTCGTAACTCAAAAAGTAATTGAGATATTGCAGAACTAATTAAATATTTGAAAAGAGGAAGCCAAAACACATCTGCACACTGATTTTCATTATAATCCATTAATAAACAAAAAAGTCGATTTTAGAACCAGTGTCTTGCCTTAAGAGCTCTTCTGCCAAGTAGATGGCAAAGCGTGCTGCAGCTTCAAGAGGCTCTTCCCCGAGCACAGACAATTGGCAGTTGACACCTTCAAAGCTGTAAAATATTGGACCGCTTGCTGCGAACGAAGCACCGCAGCAAAGCGAGATTGAACGCCGGGTGAAAATGGTCCGCTATTTCACGTTGCGACCCATTGACAACCCACGTTAGCAAATCTCAAGTTGTTCCGCTGCCGTACACAAGTTGGCATCGACCAGTGGACGAAGGGGTACAAGGACACTGGAGGGCCGCAAGACCTCTCTCGCTTCGTGTACGTTCGCCAGAATATTGCCCGACTGTGACTCTCGAATGAATGTCTGGCTGGTTGATTATAAGCTCTAGCAAGTGTCGTCGACCAATGAGGAATATTTTTATCCGTTTGAGCAGTGAAAATTTAGCGAGAATCTAGTACCACGTGACGTCGTGTTGCCACGAGACGCTGCAGTGTCGTGGCGCGAACACCGTCCACCAAAGTCAGCGGGACGCAAGCGAGGACAATGTAAACACGGCGGTGTGCGGCGTCTCGAAGCGCAGTTCACTCGCAGGATGAGGCAAGGACCGGTTTCAATCCAAGCTTACCTGGTCGGTCTCCATGGAGGTGTCCTGGCCATCCAACACGATCACCGCCGTGCCGGCAGACTCCATGACGACGGCGTCGGTGGGCTTAACCACGCGAACGGCTGGGCAGAGCGAGAGGGGCAAGCACACGGGCGAGCCGGTTAGGACGCCGACGAAAAATCGCGCACAAGGCGACAAGGACGAACGAGGAAGGACTCAAGGTTTACCAACTCACCCAGCTTACCAGTTTACTATGATTAAGAAGCGTCCTGCCTCCTCACAGGGTCTACATTAGAAGGAAAGGGCAAGCTTGTTACAGCGAAGCTGTTATACGCTAGGGTCTGGGAAAAATATCGTAGAGCCCTTCCACTTCACGCGAAGAGGGAGGACGAGCCAAGCTGTTATCTTTACGACGTCGAGGACGATGCCTAGAGCACTAACTCTAGGATGACCTCAAGGACGACTTCTAGGACAATGCCTAGAGCACTAAGTCTAGGATGACCTCAAGGACGACTTCTAGGACGACGCCTAACGTCGTCTTTGGGGTCGTCCTCTAGGCTTCGTCCCAGATGTCGTAAAGATAACAGCTTTGCTGGTCTTCCATCTTCACCTGAAGTGGAAGGGCTCTACAACTTTTTTTACCACTTTTTACCAGTGCGCCAGCAATTATAGTGCCGAAAAAAAATCATAATTGTATTTATAACCTTTTGAGCTAAACAAATTAATTTACTTTACGAAAGTAACAAGGGATGAATGAATAAGGAATCTGTTCTGCAAAGGGAGGGTGTGACGAACTGTGTACAGACTAGCGAAACCAAAAGGACAACGCCGCGAAAAGAAGAAACAAAAGATGGAGTGGCACGAGAAGAGGAAGAGCGCTGGAAGATTAACAGGGAGGCAAGTACAGGCCTTCTTGGGGCCGTCCTCCAACCTGGTGAGGCTCGGCCCAATCCCGAGGCAAGGGAGCGATTCCTAATCGACGGAACATGTCGAAACAGAAGCTGGCTGCCACAAGGAAAAAGGCAGCTGCGTGCTTCACCACCACCGACGGCACATCCCTTGTTGTCGCTGACCACGCCACGCACCAACTGGTGAAGCGCCTTTCTCTGCCCTACTCCGCTTGTACACAAACTATGACTGTGATTTTGTTTACCTTACGTGCCCCGTAATACGAGTGACTATTCTTCTATCTACAAATTTTTTTTTATTTGATTGAGTTCTTTTTTTTTTCTAATGTAACTAAAAGTTATATCAGTAATCCTCTGCCTCGTCCTTGCAAAAACAAACCGCTCTTCCACACAAACCTTCTTGCAGAGGGCACTTTCGCCTAATGGGGAAGGGGAGGCGAGGCTACATTCTTGTCACGGTGTTGGCATTCCACCCCCAGAGAGAGGGAGGTCTCCCTCTCTTGGGCTACGAGACAAATCCGCTCGTACGAGCGATTGTGTGCGGGTCGGTGCCTCTCCCAGTGAGGCTGCGATGCGGGGCAGCCCCGTATAAGGTGTCGTACGGCAGGTTGGGTAAGGCGGGAAGAGCAAGTTTGGTTAGGTTGCTCTTGGTCCAAAAGCATAAGTACAGTTTAAGGGAGTAACATATTCGTAAGATCCAGAGAGATGCCTCGAAAGGTGGCCTGTTTTAGGCCCACTTTTCTGTTCCCGCTAAAACAGCCAACGATAGCCTAGAAATAGCATCAGCCAGGTGACCTCCGAGTAACGGGCTGCTTTTCGCGTCCTTTTCATCTCGAAATGTTTGCCGCGTTTGTCGGGGCTTCCCTCGGTGCCGGTTGGAACCGCCCGAGACAACGTTCGGCCGACCAAGGTTGCCCGGGTACTTAATGGCAGAAAGCATCAAAAGCGAGAGAACAACATCGTAGCGTGACCACTGTGGGCACCGACGGCAGCCATAACGAAACATCTGACTCACTTCATCTCCTCTATTGCAGTGGTTCTTAAATGGGGATCTGCGAAAGAAGGCATCCTAGAGGTCCACAAAGCCCTGCTCATCAGTCAAGCCTGGCAATAAAAGTTGTCCTTTTCCAGATTGAGAAGAAACGCTCCAATTTCCGGGCCTATTTTCTCGTGTGTATGTCAACGAGAGAAGTCTACTCTGCACTAGCCCTTAGTTATATTCATTTAGTAAATCATAATTAACCTATACCTTTTTCTTCCCCTCACCAGTAACGAGGACCTACCTCCATCATCTCCGCCGACCCTCAAGGGGCCTGCCAAACATCGATGGTTGAGAACCACTGCTCTATTGCATAGAACATAGGATGCGGGATTCAGAAATATGAAGTCTAAATGGCAACAAGTTGAATCACGGTGGAGGTCTCATGGGCCAACGGTGCGAACGAGCTTCCCAAAAATAGAGCAATGACTCGAGCAGTGTCTGAAATTTCAATTGCTGTTATACATTAGCTATATGGGGTGAGTGACCCGCGAAATCGTCTTTTCATTTTTTTTCTTGCAGCAGCCGAGTTGAGTTGTCGAATAGATTCGGCGGCTATGCCCATTCCCATCAACAGCAACAATCTTCGAGGTTTTCAATCTCTTTGCCGAAGAGATTGGAAACTGAGCGGCAGGCCGGAACTACGGCTGCAGGGCTTTGGTGAGTCACGTGCGAGAACGGGGGAAGGTGAGCTTGAAAAAGCGTTTGCGATGTTCAGAGGAGAGACATGTTGCAGTTACGCCATATCTATGGAGATCCGGCGTTACGGCGACTTTTCTAGACAAGATGGTGCGGAACATTTTTAAAAAAGCGCCGCATTAGCAATTCCCTGGACGATGCGGATCACGAGGTTATCTGCGACAACGAAGGTGCGAGCGTGGATGTATTAGAAATAAAGCCACGGTTTCTAGCCACATTTGGACGTCACTAGGAGCAACTAGTGCGGGTAATACGCAAGAAATTTTTTTGTCTTTCCCGAGAGTAGCAAGTGTGGGGGGTGAGTTATATGCAGGGAAGGGTAAGAAGCGCGAAAAGTAGGGGATTTGAAAATATGTTTTCTCAATCTGATCTCGAGGGTGACATTTGAGGTAAATCCAAGACAAAGGAATAAGAAACATGTTTACAAATCTCTGTAATGCGAAATGAGTGCACCGTGACAAAAAGCATCGTGACACGGTGTTGTTCGTTGTCGTCGTCCATGCCTTGTTGATTCGGTTCACTTCACATCTTTCCGCTCAGCCAGGTTAGGTCTGGCAGCTCCCTAAGTGCATAAAACCTACCGGCCAAGAGAGAATTTCCTAATCTCCGATCCACCCAGACGTCTCTGGAGGCACTTCTGCACTGCCTTCCTTTAATGACTGGGCATCAAAAAAGTCAGCGATGCCACCTCCCTGGTAGAGAGCCTTGATTTAAGGGAGGGAGCAACCGCGGGCAATGCTTGCAATTTAATGGTGGACGCCTCCTGCACCAACTGATCGGGTGGCGAGGAGAAAAGTGGGCGAAAAGCCCGAGACATTTGTGGACGACCGACGCTTTCGTCACCTGCTCGTTGCAAACGCATCCCATAAACCACCCTGGTCGAGCACTTGGAAACTCTCCGAAATATAGACTTCCTAGGCGACAATTGAGACTAGTGGCATCATGAGCAGATGACAGTGCATGTGTGAACACCCGATATCGAAAAAAAAAAAAAAAAAAAAACCTCAAACGCATCTTTTTTTTATGCTTAGATACTACCATAAAATCCCGAGCAAGCGCCCACTCAAAATTTGAAAAAAATAACGTAAAACTGGGCGCTCCTTAGGTCAAGAATATGTAAAAATATGTCCTTTGTGTATTTTCCAAATGTTACAAAATTGAGGGGTGGACGGTTAGTGTGAAACGAGCGGTTGCTCCTCATTTTATGGTAACTGGGGTAATCCGGACGAGGCAGGCAGGCAGCCCACCTTCAAGCTCCATCTTCTCCTCCTGCTCCAAGGAGGCAATGTCAAACTCCTTGGCCATGGTCTGCACAATCTCGGCTGCCAGGTGCGTCGTCTGCTGGTCCATGGCCGGGGGCTCCGTGTAGTACTTGATGCGCCCACTGCAAGCGAGGGCACGAGACAGACACGCTGCAAAGCGAGCGGCACCCTACGCCAAAAAGAATTTTGGGAATAGGCCGTATGGAACCGGTCGTAGCGGATGACGGGGGACCTTGAGAGGCAGTTCAGAGGCACAAATGCGCTTCCCTCTCTCTCTCTTCACAGTCAAGGGGTAGATAATGCGGAATGAGGCGTTTTGGCATTTTTACAACTAGTCTCCGTCTGGGCGTCGCACAAATACCACAGTGAACCACGGTGTCTGAGCGCATCTCCGACCGGCGTGCTCTCCACCAATATCACTAGGTCACTTCAGTCGTGGAACTTCTCACGGATGCTGCTCTGCAAACAGCATTTCAAGCAGTGTTCTGCATTTTGTTGCAGCTAGCAGACAACCAACGGGCGTTGAGCCCCAATTGTCCACTGGCCATCTTTCCTGAATGAAAACCATATAGCCTCATGCTTTAAAATATAATAAAAAGCGTAGAGGTTTTTTTTGTCCGCACCTCGCTGAGTCTACTGCAAACATGCCGCGTGCAGATTCTTTTTAGAGCGCAGCTCTTAGGCGCCCGTTCCCGGCTTGAGCGGCGTCGCCGTCGCCGTCGGCGTCGGCGTAACCGCGCGGTGCATTATGGGTAAATTTCCCCGCTAAATCTAGCGGAAAAATTTCTCCGCTAAATCTAGCTGAAAAACGTCCCCGCTAAATCTAGCGGAAAATTTTCCCCGCTAAATCTAGCGGAAAAAATCAACCCGCTAAATCTAGCGGAAAAATTTCCCCGCTAAATCTAGCGGAAAATTTTCCCCGCTAAATCTGGCGGAAAAATTTCCCCGCTAAATCTAGCGGAAAAATTTCCCCGCTAAATCTAGCGGAAAAAATTTCCCCGCTAAATTTAGCGGAAAAACTTCCCCGCTAGATCTAGCGGAAAATTTTCCCCGCTAAATCTAGCGGAAAAATTTCCACGCTAAATTTAGCGGAAAAACTTCCCCGCTAAATCTAGCGGAAAAACTTCCCCGCTAAATTTGGCGGAAAAAGTTTCCCGCTAAATCTAGCAAAAAAATTTCCCCGCTAAATCTAGCGGAAAAATTTCCCCGCTAAATCTAGCAGAAAAACTTCCCCGCTAGATCTAGCGGAAAATTTTCCCCGCTAAATCTAGCGGAAAAAATTTCTCCGCTAAATCCAGCGGAAAAATTTCCCCGCTAAATCTAGCGGAAAAAATTTTCCCGCTAAACCTAGTGGAAAAATTTTCCCGCTAAATCTAGCGGGGAAATATTGGTCACGTGACCTGGGAGGTCACGTGAGGGGGGGGCACGTGACTCCCCCTCCACGTGGACCCCCTACCCTGAGGTCACGTGACCCCAACAAGGTCACGTGCCCTCGGGGGGGGGGGGGGGGGTCATATGGACCCTTTCCCCTATGTCACGTGACCCCCAAGAAACCGTGGCCCTCAGTGCCCTTCCCTCCTCCTCCTCAAGAGCTGCGCTCCAATTCGGCGTTACAGGGAGTGGTAAACGGCTTTTTTTTGTCACTCGGCAAGCGAGAATTTTAAACTCATTTTGATTCTGACAGCAACGCGCAGCAAATGTGCCATTAATGAAACGAGCAATTTGGCAGAACATAGAAAGAGAAACAACCACATCGGACATTTTGAAAACAGTTATCAATCCGAAAGCAGGGAGCAAGGTAGCTGACGACGATGTCTCCTAATGCAGAGTGTGTGCTCCCTTCCGGAGCACAGTTCTACAATGTAGTTGATCTAGCGACGTTGCTCTGCACGCCTCCACTTTCACCGCTCAAGTTCCACCCAGTGACTTCACAGTCGTGCAATGCCGACATGTTTGGCAGTAGAACTCAACAGGTATACCCAGGGCGACCACATATTTGGTTGCCTCGATGCCAGCATGTCCGCACTTGTCTGTCCACCACAAGTAGAGGACACACAATGCACCGGTCAGAGATGCCCTCCAGACACCATGGCCATTACGGCAGCATCTGGTACAGTCTTTGCTCTAAAGCAACGTGTATAGACCAACACACTGCCCCGACGTCACGCAGCTGCGGTAGCGCTGTTGACGGCACTGCGCAGGCGCGTTTCACTTCACGCGAATTTGGTTTCTGCGCATGCGCAGTGCCCACACCTAGTGTGGGCAAACGCCGGCTTGTTTGTAAACAGCGTGTCGGTCTATACCCATGGCTATGCCACTGGTTGTGGGCCCCTGAGAAACATGGTGACAGGATCCTAACACATTTCAGCAGCTGGTTTTATCACAAAGCGTCGCGAGACACTGTGTCATTCCGACAAGGAACAAAGATTACCGGAAACCTAAGCAATTTCAACTGTCGTGTTTGTGAAAATTATGACAACCTGCAATTCACATTCATGAATACCTCACCCCAGGGCCAGGGTTGCTCTGTCACAGTCAAGTCCATTGCAACTATTCGTACATGCCTAAAAATTAATTGTCGGGCTAGTAGGCTATTCATTTTGCGCTATAGTATTTATGGTAATCTGGTCCGACAAATGGAAATTTTTACTTTCGCATAAACTCGGTCACAGCGGAATGGAGCAGTCGTGCGACAGATGACGTAACCGGGAGTTTCCACTAAGGACACCCGCACATTTTCCCCAGACGATTTCCACTAACAGCTGTCACCACAAAACACCCGCTAGTAGGCGAGAGCCGCCACACAATTTAGGCTGTTCAGCCGCAACCATATATACACCTGTCCATCAAGTACAGTTAATAGTACAGATCACAGTAGTGCAGGCACATACCAGTTCCAGTCTGTAAGGATGCGCTTTGCAGCCGCAATGGGGTTGGGCAGGCCGCCCTTACGCAGCAGGCCCATGCGCTTGGCCAGCAGGGAGAAGCACTCCTCCGGGGTGGAGAAGTCCGGCAGCCGGTAGTGCAGCATGAACTGCGAGGCATCCATCCATTCATTCGTTCCACTCGTAAAGAAAGTAGTCCGCCATTTTAGATGCCTAACACGTACGGGGCCAGCTCTTGGCCCTCTCGTGTCCGAGACTGGGTTGTAGCCTCTATGGGGGGTGCAACGTGGAGCGAGCAGTTGCCAATTGCATGCTCCATGTGCAATCAATGGTTGTCTTGGAACGGGAATTTTCCACAACGTACGGCGTGGAAGCAAGCACGAAAATTCTTACTTGCAGGCTGCCACCAGAGCGGTGCAGGTGCAACAACAATGGGCAAGGTAGAGAGGAGTGAAAGACGCGGAAGGAAATCGCCGTGCCCAACCCGAAGCCGTTTTTCGGCAGTTTAGGCCCCACATTGGAAGCAATCCCTCGGTGCAGACTGCAATGGCCGTGAAATACTGGGCAGCCCGTTAAAGTGCCAAAGAGACCGCCAAATTAGTTTTCCTTCATTTGCCTCAAGTTTGGTTCAACGCTAGATCATGCTCAACTTCTGACTAACATACTATCACGTAAAAACTAGGGGCGTGCGAATTCTCGAGATTTCGAATACGAATCGAATATTTTGCTTATTTGATTCGTATTCAATTCGAGATTTGCATATTTGGAAATTTGCGACTATCCGAGCAATGTACGAATATTCGAGTAAATAGGCAATAATCCGTGTGAGGGTCATGTCCTCAACATTCAGAGTTCCCTTAAAAGCCGTGTTTAGTACCCTAAAATGGCGGGTACTGTAGCCTTTTTCCTTTAAACCCTTACCATTTACGTTATTCATAGGACTACCGTGTTTGCACGATTTTAACGCGCAGGCAGATTTCGCTCCCAGACATTAAAAAAATAAATTGCTGTCGATTCTACCGCACAGGGAAAACAATGGAGATTGAACACATACTTCATAGAATGGATTTTAAGAAACGCATGCCAACAAAAACATAAATATTGTGCACTAATCGCCATTGTCGGAGTCCGGCCATGGTTCTTCGTCGTCCACAGAGGTAAGTCTCGCTGTCTTCTAAAGCGTTTTTGAAAGCCGCGCTTTTTGCGCTTGTACGAGTGTGCGACCGTTGCCCCCGGGAGGGTCGTCTTCCAAACACCACTTTGCGAGCTTGTCGGGTTGCTGGCATTGTGACACCACGCTGTGATGCTCCGTTGTTATCTTTTCCCACCAGTGTGATGGATTTTCGTTTAAATAAAGCCTCTTAGTGGAATTTATATGGTTTTTCCATTGTAAAACGAGAGACACGAGTCCGTAGAAGCGAGAGAATGCGCATGACGCGGATATCAAAATGGCGAATGTCAACAAACGGTCACGGTGGTGATAGGGCTAACCACCTTATACCGAGATTGCGTTCTCCTTTTTCGGTTTCAATCGTAAAACCCACGTATATTTGGGACCGATTTTAACGGAAAAAGTGCGGGTTAGAATCGTTCAAACCTATGTTCTAGCTCACGACAAAAAAAACAGTTTTGGTTTTCGCCCCGCAACACTCTCTGAAAGCGCGCGAGTACCCCAATTAACCCCAAGTGCAGTCGTAAACAGACACGTAGAAACAAAAACCAACAATATCGTGGCTAGGAGAAGAGCGTAGGGACATCTTACGGCACGTCCGTCAAGCGCCCGCAAAGAGACTCGATTGCGAAACCGCACGTTCGAAACAATCTAGATTCGATTGAGCCAAGGAATCGAATAGTCTGTTATTCGAGCGAGAAGGCATGGCGCACAGCCCCCCGTGGGGCGTCCCACCTGGTCCTTGGAGGCCCTGCGGAGGATGGAGGAAGCGGGTCCCACGGGGTCCTCCAGGTCTTCTGGCCTCTTGGCGTTGCGCAGGGCCACCGAGGCCTGGGAGGCCCCCTGGGCGGCCATCACCACTCCGGGGCTGTCCAGCAGGGACACGTGCTTGTCCAGCTGCACCTTCTGCATCACCCTGCACGCCCGACCCAGGTCAAACACAAAGGAGGACGGCGCGGGACTTTAAGGGGAGACGAGGGTCATCAGCTTTTCATTTATCGTGTTGAAATTTAGTATACTGATGTATTTCTCAGTGATGATTTCAAAGGTGCAATTAGTTTTCAGATAGCTTTACTAGATTCTGAGTCATCAATAAATTTGTAATCTTAGTTAGGTCCTCCTTGTGGGTCCTGGTTTCGCTAGTTTCTTTGGCATTGAGAGGACAATCTTCTTTGAGAGTCTGCCTGCCATACTGCCAGCCCCGAATCTAAAGCACAAACGCCTGTAACTCCCTCTTAATCAGCACGCCTTGTACGGCTTCTCGGAGAAAAAGGTAAGCAATTTCTATCTATTTCGCAAGAGTCTAGATGTTCCAATCCGGCAGAAGAAACGGTTGGACAAAAATTGCTTTCCACTGTATCTATTCAATAGCCCATGTGGCACATTATAAGTTAAATTTTTTTTTATTGAATGTTTGTTTCGCGCATTACTGAAAAATCCATTCCCCAGTGCCTTCTGCACATCTAATGTCAGTACGTTGTATTTCAAACTCCTGGCATTCACATTTGCTAAATGCGAGTTCTGATATAACAAATTATTTGGTACATCGAGCTAACATACGCATCGGAGAAAGTTTGCTATAAATGGGTTCAACTGTATCGTTGCGTTTTCTCCGATTACACGCCACTTTTGTGGTCTGCTGGAGACCGTAGAACAGACGCTCTGCCGTGTTCTAACGACACATTTGCCAGTTGCGTGAGCCGGAGGGAACTGCACCTGGTGTATCTTCTGCTCGCCGTTATTCCACTTTCCCTCGGCACAAACGGAGAGAGAGCCACACACACATTAACACGCACGTGTGCTAGCTTATTGTAATAAACAAAAATGTGGACTTTTGTGCTACTTCGAACTAAAACTTAAAATAAATAGGACATCAGCTATTTCATAGTTGCATATTTTATGCTGCATGACTATTGCATGCTGGGAGCATAAATAAATCTTTATTTCTTTTTTTTTAAATCCCCCATGTAACGGATTGCAAATGTAGAAAACATATTTCTGATACCTTTAGAATTTGTTACAACTGGCTTTGAAACTAATACATGATGCCTACAAATATTTAGTTTGTGTCAGAAAAAGCCTTTGAGTTAACTGAAGTTGCGAAATAGCCCACTTCGAGTTTTTGAGAAATTTGGGGCATCATTTTTGTAATATGCAGATGCACCACTACGCGATAAACCCATTTCAGCTTTGCATGTTTTTGCGCTGAACTTGTAAGCCAACATTTTTGGCAATTCCGCAATTTATTATAAAGGCACCCGACTGTAATTACCGCACATTTATTGGATTTTCTCAGTAAATACCAAAATTAAAAAGCAGCCACGAACTATGCACTTAGATTATCTGGAGGCAAATAAAAAATAAAGATTCCTCTCCGCAGCTTGCAGTCGCTGTGTGGCAATTTTTAAAGGCAATGCTTTCACGTGCTGGTTTCCAAAGTTAGTGTGTCACGTATCGTCGACACAAAAATGTTAATTTGCTACATATAGGCCAAGTTATGTAACCTAAATCTAGCGATAAATTTTCACATTACATTTAACGGCAAAACTTGCCTAAAGTCGTTTATGCGTGCCTCATCCAACGAGCCTTCATGCTAGATCAAGCGAGGAAACTTCCCACCACATTTAAGTCGCATGACAGACGCCGTGACACCGTGACCGTGAAGTCACTAAACACCACAATGTCATGATGTCACGCGCCATTGCGCAAACTAACATCACGTCTCCATGCGACCCATAGTGGCACCGACCCCAAACAATCCAAGCGAGCGAAACAGATTTGAACGAGTCAACGCAGACGTATTCGGGCTCATCCGAAGCATGGAGCTAGGTCGCATCGTTGATTCCATCGGAGGCAGACGCCCCGAGAGGCGAGTGAGCTGCACTCACTTGGTGACTCCGGGGACGGCTCCCACCGTGCACGCCCGTGACCGCTTCAGGCTGTTCACTATGCTGCTCTTGCCCACGTTCGGGTAGCCTGCACCAGGGAGTGTTTCCACACCTCATTTCACAAAAGGCACTTTTTTCAGCCACATTTTCGCAATATCCAGGCTCTACTTTTTTCCCCAAATTAGTTATTATCTCTAAATTCAAAATAGCCATTGAGGAAATGGCAATGAAGGTGATTCCAAGTTTCCCGCGCTCTTCAGTGGAGTGACGGCCCATGTTGTACAACTAGCGAGTCGAGCCGGCAGTAAAAACAAAATGCGGTGCTTTGCGCATCTTTTCATTTTGATGGCGCAAGCCTGACCAGCATTCATTTCCCAGCATAAAATTCCTGTAACCCGTCAGGAACAAGCTGCCCCCCTATTGCAACATCTCACGTCACATTGTAAGCGTTTTCAAAAGAACCTCTCAGCACGTGTCTATAAATGTGTTGAACCAATTTTGAGGCAAATCAGTGGCTGTCAAGATGTTGCCAGAGGGACGCGGAACTCCTACAAATTTTTTAAAGTGCTTGAACAGTGCTTACAACAAAAACAGAAATTTTACCGCGATATTTTTGATGAAAGACACATTTTACTTTAGGAGTAATTCTAAAGGATCCTTTTATTTTGAGATGCAAGTAGGTTTTGGAAGCACCCCTAGTGAACTCCCAAAAGATATTTTTGAACTGCCGGCATTGTTTCTGCAAAAATAAACTTTCCCCAAATAAAATTATTTTTAATCGCAACGTTGACATTATTATTTTGAGCGAGGAGCCTTTCCAAAACTCTATTCCGGCCCTTCGACCCAAAATAGAAGTATGAAATAGGAGCATGCCACGAGACTCGACATGAGCCTCGCAGTGGAAATAAAACGCCTCTTAGCGGGGGAAGTTTATTCTGCGGCGTACCTGTCCCAAACAGGCACTTTAAAACAAATTTTGGGGAGAGTTCAGCGACCCTTTGACGACGTGGGCATTCACCGAGTTGCATTTCCCTACACTCAACGAAGATGCCACTGGCAAGGGCTGCACATTCCTGGGGGTGCTGAAAGGTTTGTAAAGTCACGCACCACATCACCCAAGAACTTTATTTTATTTTTTTAAAATAATAACATTTTTATTATTTTGGATATTTTCCACGCTAATAATAGAGTTTGACAAAGCCTGCCTCGTACAACGTGGCGTGGCAGCTGGGAGAAAAATAACTTCGAGTGAACGCTGCACTTTGCATGTGGCCTCTTTGCGTTCCTCCCAGTCCGAGAACCTACTCGGCCTCGTAAGACAAGCGCCGGGCAATGAGGTTCAGCGTCGTTATCTTACCTTCGCAACATCCACCAGATACAATGTTAGTTCAAGGAGGATTTCAATAAATGTGTTTGGGCCCATTCTACCGTGATATGCGCTTTCCTCTATATTAGACGAAAGAGGGCAATCAAGGGCTTCACTGATGTTCTTAAAACCTTACCCCTGCAAATCGGCATAATGTGAGCAATTCACCATAATGGGACCAATGGAACGTAATGTGAGCAACACAACGCAATGCAAACAATCCGACACAAGACGAGAAATTCAACGTAACAAGAGCAATCTACAATCCAGCATAATGCGAGCAATTTTGTGCAATGTGAGGTATCGGAGGCACTACGATAAATTCGGCATAACGTAAGCAGTTCACTGTAAACGATAAATTCAGTTTAACATGAGCAATTAAGTGTGACAAAGAAAAATTGAGCATAACAAGATGAATTCAGCATAACGAAAGAAATTCACGATAATGTGAGTAACGAATTGTAGACTCTGGACAACATAGCTCAGCAGCTCCCCCCATTCCAGGGAGAGGCCCTCTGCAAACCCCTTCCATTCAAGAAGTGCAAGGTTGCCAGGCACCGACACAAACTGCTCGACTGCGTTCCAAATCTCACTTCGGCAGAATCGAGTTACTCCCACGGGTCACATCACGGGGTAACAGAAATAGAGCGTGGCCGGATGGCAGCGGGTTTTCCAAACGCCAAGGAACAAAACCTTTAGTCTGGAACGAGATCGAGCGAATTGTGTTACACGGCCCTTGCACAACACGGGACGACTCCGAGCATGTAAGAGCCAGTCTCGCCCGGTGAAGCCCTTCAAGTGCCACAAGTGGCCATGCACACGATAATTCCCGGCAGTCTACTTCTGCCAGCCCTTCACACTCCACTCCAAACTGCCAATGGATGGCCGACAATCATGCGCCCACCTCGGCCAAGCTGGCGCCGCTCTGCACGGAAGGAAGCCTAGCAGGCAGCCTGCCGTTCGCAAACCCCAGTGAAACTGCATCCAGCAATCTTTGCAAAGCTGACACGAATACAATTTGTGCCGTCCAGCCACCAGATGTGTGCCCAGTTATTCTAGACCAGTGCGTAACATTCTGCGTTGCCTTTGCCACACTAGTGCAGCGAAGGGGCGATTTCTTTTCTTATTAAGACGAAGGTTCGGGCGAGTTGGTTGTTCATGACTTACAAGGAAACAGCGCACCCTCAAAACAAGCACTCTAAGCTTTCATACACAGCGCTGTGTAAGTGGCCCTTTGTGTGCATGAAAGCTTAGAGTGCTTGTTTTGAGGGTGCGCTGTTTCCTTGTAATTCTTTTCTTACTCCTCCACGAATAAGCGCCGTTTGTGGTCACAAAGCTTACTACGGCAGAAGTTTCCAGACACCATGGCACCACTTGTGAGGCAAACCAGACACACACGAAGGCGGGCTTCCTCGCCCGCTACCCACCGACAACCCCGACGGTGATGCAGGTCTGGATGCCCTGGTTGCGGCAGTAGTTGCCCAGCATCTTCATCAGCAGGCTGGCCCCCAGGCAGCGGCTGGACTGGCCCAGGCCCTCGGGCACCTTGGACAGGTTCCAGGACCGGTTGTGCGACTGCGCAGCAAGAGCTCGTCTTGTGGCGCCTGGTGTGGCAAAAGATGCTGCATCGTTGGCGAACAGCCAACTCCGTCCTCTCCAAGCAGAGATCCAGGCATGTTTCCCTTACGACAGAGTTTCTTTTCTACCTCGAGGAACCCTCATCTGGCTTGAACGGCAGCCCAAGAACACCCCCACCTACGCACATGTAAACAGTAATGCGCATAATAGGGCATGTGTGGTTCCTACTTGTGGCATACAGTTGCCGACCGATTGATAATTCGGACAAGTTCTATATTTTGGACCTAAAGCAGGAACCGCGACCTATCCAACAGATATAGTGCGTATTCACAATCTATGTTTTGGAAAACTTGAACTCCGAAAGCTTGATTCTTCTGACAAAATTGTCGCGAGCGATTAGCGGGAAACACCACCAACATCATTTTAGACTGCATGAAGGGTGCACATGGATGGGCTTGGTTTGAGAGCGCTACTTGTGCACTGCCAAGTCCTGCCACTGTGTGACGCTATGCTACCCCCTTTTTTTCTCTAGCTGCACATCATTATCGTCATCGTTGTAACCATTTTGCTTTGTTCATTTGCCACTGCTGTCGTGAACTTGCACTTCTTATCTTGTCTCAACGAATCATGTTTTTGAACTACGCCGGTTTGGATGCCATGGTCCCATCTGTTCTTCCACTGCCGCCAAGTGTCTCTAAAAAGCACGAAAAGTACTCGACCACAACGCTAGAAAAAAAGGCAGCGATTCTCAATCTAATAGAAAATGGCCAAATGCAAGCAAGAAGGCACTATTGACGGCCCGCTTAGACGTAATAAAGGGAAATTTTTTTAATCTGCAGATTTTTGAGCTCCATTATTATTCAAACGTTTTTTCAGTCCCCGCAAAGTCGGAAAAATCAGCCGGCAACTGTAGTGAGTGATACGCTAAAAAAGCTTAACTGGAAAAACGCTTTATCTAAGGCCAGCTTGAGACGAGTCGAAGCTCGTTAGGAAACATACAAGAGCTTCCATGGCCTTTGCGCGTGGTTTAATCCAGGTACCGAGCAGCTTTGCCACAGAGAAGGGCCAGTGTTCACGCACGTGTTGAGTGGTTCTCCACGATTAAATTAGTTGTTAGTTAGCGTCAGTCCGTGTTGTATGTGTCTCTTCTTTGTCCGTGTTTTTTTTTTAGCTTTTAAGTCCTCTAGATCCAGTTCTCCAGTTACATGAGCTCACTCGTTCCTTTTTTAGGCCACCTAGCAGAGGCAAGTTCCGGCAGACGACCGACGCAGCACTCGAGCGACTCTCTTCCATTACGGTGTAACAGAAAGCTACCATATTCTCCGTAAAAAACCTCCCAAAAAACTGAGAGCTAAATATGCCCGAGGCCAGCACAGTGCAGACACAAACGCCGTGCTCAATCTGGTAGGCGATGTGACGACCCTGCGCTCTCTTACCTACGGGCGGACTGCAGCGCACTGTTGGAACGAGCACCGTGCTCGTTTGAAGGATCAATGTGGCATAACGAGACTAGAGTCCTCAGAGTTTCTGCCATAGATTTTAAAAGGGAAATCCTCATTAAAGGAACTTGGAAGGAGTGAAAAAAGTGGGCATATTGTGGACAATAAACGGGTGGCGCTTACCCCGTGCATCCACAAAATCTTGAAACCTCGCAGTTCCCTAAGTGTTTTTGGTCGTCCTCCCTCCCCCCCCTCTCCTCCTCCCTCCCCCTCCCTCCCCCTCTCCTCCCTCCCCTCCCCCCTCCCTCCCTCCCTCTCCCCTTTCCCCCCCCCCCCCCCCCCCCCCCCGCCCCCCAAAAATGACCCAGATCTGCTTCAATCCTCACACGAAAGCAGAGAGCCTATCGGAATACGAGTGCGGCGACGGGATTTGCTGAAGCCCTTTGCCCAGAGCTTTCGGAGTGCGAGTGTACTCAATCATGGCACTGCAAATATTGACACGCTGAGATTCTGAAGTTGGCCCGTCCAACTACAAGACCCTACCTTCTTTGCTTTCCCAGACCTGCGCAACCACCCGTTACATCCGCTGCAAAGCAGACAGTACGACTGCATACCTACCAAGTTTGGAAAAACCAAATCCGGGATCATTTTTAAGTGGGGGCTTAGAGGTTTTTTTAAAAGAAATATTGATAACAAATGTACTAGAAGACAACTTCATTACATTTATAATGCACTGCTTGTGCTAGCGAGGAACAGCTGGGTCTCGCTATCATTGCAGCCGTTTATTACGACCGCAAAAACTACTTATTCAAGTGCGAGGAGGGAGGGGGGGGTGGAGAATTAATTTGCGTTTTTTGGGAGACTTTTTTTGTCAATCGTACAACCGTACAAAATGGTCGAAATTCGGGAGTTTCTCAAGTAATACGGGAGACTTGGCGGGTATGTGATGACCTCAGACCCTCAACCACTGTTAAGTTGAGCTTAAAAACACCAAATGTGGCAAAGAATGTCGAGATTGGAGCCACTCTTTTTTTTTAATAATAAGACCCATCTTAATAGGCACTTTTGAAACACCTTTTGATTGATGGAGGACACAACGTGAACATGTGTGAATCATTATTGTTTTTATACATCAATTTATTTAGTTAAATTAATAAATTTTTTAATTGGTAACTCTCACCCAATTGACCACCTTAATATTCTTTGTCTACAGTTTTCTATTTTGGTGACCCAGAAGACTAGACTGCACGAAAAATTAATAAAACATTTTTTTTTTCTTTTTTTTTTTCAGGCACTTTTTTTTTTTTTTTTTTTTTTAATAGTTTGGATTAGGGGTTTTTAAACTGGGTTCCAGGGAACAGAGGGGTTCCACGAGCTGGTCTCATGGGTTCCGCAAACACCCAAATTGCAACCCCCCCCTCCCCCGCCGCAGGCTCCACGGCAGGACCATGCAAGGCGCCTTCATCACACTTTGTACTGACATCGTGATTGATATGGTGGGGATATATGGGAAGCCAAGCAACACAACACAAGCAAAATTACCTACGATTGTGCATTCGTTGCTTCTCGGTCGGCCAATATAGAGGGGGGGGGGGGGGGGGTTCCGCGGCAGTTTTTGAGGCTTCCTGGGGTTCCGTGAGACCAAAAAGTTTGAGAACCCCTGGTTTGGATCATGCACACATTTCCTTGTGGTAGCGGAAGCCCATTCCAGTGCACTGACTTCTTCGACATAAGCCTGGGTAAAGTCAAATTTTAAATACGCATTTCGTTCGGTAGCCACCCCAGAAAAATTGGGATATTTTTGTAAGACGAAATGAATGCGTAGGTGCGGTGGATAAATTAAGAAAGAGAAAATTCTGAACGCCCCCCCACCCCCGTGGAATGGAGCTCGAGATTGTGAGCAAGATGCCTAACCACTGCACCAAGGGGGAGTTCCGTGACCATTCAATGCACTCACATTTCTTTACACATTTTTACAAAACCGGAGAGGACGGACCGAAAAAGGGGACAAACACATAACGTCTCGGCTCAATTTATCTTCGAACATTTCTTTCCCTAACAGCGCGGAATGTGCCAATGGCACGAGAGGGTAGCTTCTACTTGCACTCCCACTGCACGAGGGCTCATGCAGCCGAGGTGCAATTTGACGCTCACGTCCACCGTTGTGTCTGGCATCTGCAGCCTCCATCCAAGGGCACACCTTTGATAGGAGTCCTACCCTGGCTGCAAGTATTCTGGTGATCTTCACAGTGCCTTGCGAGAGAAAAGAGCTCTCCCAAGAGGACGTTGCTGAACAGAAGAGACAGTCTACCCAAAATCGGCGTGTTTGTTGTGCCAGCGAAAAAAAGAGAACAGCCTTTAGCAAGGGACAGAAAAGCGAGGTGCGTTCGTTCTGCTACGACCAAAGGCCGCGCGAGCGCACGAGGTTCGTCGTGGCCTTCGTAGCAGAAACGTCGAAATGCTATAATAGCCTTTCGGCAGAATCTACGGCGAAGCACCACACAAAATGCAGTTCCATTTTTTCCTGCTCGGACACTGAAAGCAGATGTGGGAAACGCCGAATCGGTACGAGACCCTACTTATAATATGCACCTAAACGTGTCTTCTGAGACGCTTTCTGTTCCATTAGTGACTTTGGACTTTGGCCTCGCGCGTTTACTGAAGTCCAGGAATGAACATGACGACACTGCGGCCTCGGTCCCTTGCCGAGCCAAAGTGCCGGTGCCGAGCGGACTGTCCACACCGAAAGGACCCGCACGATCCCCGGCCCTCTCAATCTCCTAAGACGAGCAAACGCGCTGCAAAAGATAGAAAAGCATTCCAACGCAAAAAATTTTCCGGCCGAGACATTCAGTCAAATACAATTAAGGGGCGATGGTGCTCGATCGGGGTTTTAACGAGTGGCACTTGCTACGGGAATGACATGCCATTGTGAAGCAACTGCGAAGGTATAAAGGATTTCTTTTCCATTTACGGACCTGTTCTCTGGGGGCATTGCATGATGCCCTGCAAAATGCAGCCGCGTGTGCAATCTGAGGGCGGAATGCCTCCGCGCCTACTAAATTCTACTGATACGCAGTGCCTACCCTGCTATGCAGTCCTATGCAGGGGAAAGAGAGGGAGTGCTGGCTCAACGCCATTGGTCACACGCACTACGACGTCCGACTGACAGCTGCGCTTCACTACCTTTCTTCGGTAGCTTCTCTCCAAAGAGACCGGCACGAGTGAGCAAGGTGCGTGCGGGGTGCCCGTATAAAGCGGGACGCCTCCGCGGCAGTCCCACCGACACCGGAAACCTCACCAGGTTGTTCCTCTGACTCTGGGTGGACGCCTTGAAGGCCAGGGTGGGAAGCTCGTTCCTCAGGTGCTTCAGCCAGCGCTCCAGGTTCTCCCGGGGAATCAGGTCTGCACCAGAGGAGGGCAAGGCGCACCTTAAAACTGCCCCGGAAAACGGGGGCGCCCACGGAGCCGCCGGACGAGCTACGCTTCCGAGTCTGCACGCTCCCTTCCCCGATCGTCTCGGGGGTGCGTCGGGAAGGGCCGGCAATGTTGTTTCATTTCGGGTGCAAACTGTTTAAGCATTTCCGGAGACAGAAAAGGCGTTTACTGCAATTTAAAGATAACACTTGAGATAACTGGCAATACCGGCAGAAGCTGAAAGGGAGGACACCAGAGGGGACGTTGGAGCTCCGGTTGGAACGATTAGTGGCTAGAAGCAAAGATGGCTGTTTTCATCTTTACTCCCCCTTTAAATTCGTTCGCTTTCATACAGTGATTAGAGACGAAGGCCGCCAGCTTTGCGTCCACCCACAGATCATTCCAACCAGAACTCGGAGCTCCGACACCCGCTCTCTTTATTTCTGCCTGTACAACGCTGCAACGAGACGGACAAAGCGTCCCAACCCTGATGAGTAGCTCATTTCGTCGCTCCAGACATCCTCGAGCCCCCACAAGAGGAAACCTAGAAAGACCTTATGACTACCACCCAGGCACTCGAAAAAAGGATCGAGCAGAAAATCTAAGAGCTGTTGCTTCGAGGCAATCTTATAGTCGGCCAGAAAGGGAGGTGTGACTGTTGCATACGTGAGAGCTCCCCCCCCTTAGTGCCAATAAAGGGAGGCATACTTGGTAGAGTGGCACCACCTCGCACTACGGGCTTGGAAATGCTAACAAAAATGAGTAAACTGGCTACTTTGTCACACTCTGGAAAGGCTCGCTAATAAACGAAAATATGGTATATTTTATATATATTTCTCGAGCGCTTGCCTTCGCCTGGAACCCAATTTCCAAAGAATTACCCGGTCTTTGCCATTCTAACACAGCTGCAAGATGACGGGCGATACGGTGGCGACCGGAACGCACGAGGCACCGAGCGTGGGCCACTCCCGGCCACTGGGAGAAGCGAGCGATCGCCGCACCTTCTAGCCCTCCGTACCCTCCTTTGTCTTTCGGTGTGTCTCCCCTCTCCCCGGCTTTTTTGCCCGTGACTATAAGGCGCTTGCGCGAGACCATGACAAGACGCTGCTTCCGACTCCAAATCTTTGCCCAAATCCACGTCCGTGACATCCGTCCGCTCTTGTCCTTTATCCGCCGGGTCTTCCTACACGCAAAAGCAGCGTACTACGGATCACTCCAATTGTTTCGCGTCGCAAACGACTGCACCTGTCGAAGCGATCGGAAATATGACTGACCACTCGATTTTCATACGTACCGCTCTTTATTTGGACTTCGGATGAGCCGGCTCGTCGGCGGGCTAAATGGCTCTGCCAGACGATACCGGGCGGCTCCTAAAAGTCAAGAAACGAAGTAAGCTCGGATTTAAGCATCTCGAATACGTCGTCGGTTGTACTTCTCGAGTTGTGCCGTCGACCGAGCTCTTCGCTTCCTTCTGCGTCTTACCGATACCAAAGACGGCAGTAATGAAGAATCGCTTATGTGCGCGTGAATAGATAATATAGCAAAAGGTGTCGCCAGCACGATTGCAGACGGCTCATCCGAAGTCCAAATAAAGAGCGGTACGTATGAAAATCGAGTGGTCAGTCATATTTCCGATCGCTTCGACAGGTGCAGTCGTTCGCGACGCGAAACAATTGGAGTGATCCGTAGTACGCTGCTTTTGCGTGTAGGAAGACCCGGCGGATAAAGGACAAAAGCGGACGAATGTCACGGACGTGGATTTGGGCAAAGATTTGGAGTCGGAAGCAGCGTCTCGTCATGGTCTCGCGCAAGCGTCTTATAGTCACGGGCAAAAAAGCCGGGGAGAGGGGAGACACGTTGGGTTTGTAGATTTCAAACACGCTGCTCGGTAGCGTGTCCGGAAGCGACGTCCGGTGCAGGAGCCCTACAGGGTGTGGCCGTAAGGACCAACACATTTGGCACGCCCCACAAGATTGAAATTCCAAATGTACATACCTGAAATTAATGGGCGAACATAGTTTTAAGAGCAGTTTTATGTCTATGTTATTTTGTTTTAGAGCTCAATTTTGAGGTAGTAATATATTAAAAATAGAGCAAAATCGGGTGCCGTGCATTTGCTACGTCCTATACCAGCCCATTTGTCGTCTGCACACTGATTTTTGAGCTTTCTTCCCGGGTGGCTCGCTGAACTTACTGAATGAAATATATGAACAATGGCCACCTGGCAGCAAGCTCACAAACCACTGTGCAGACAACAATCATCCGGTATAGGACACAGGAAATGCAGAATTGCCGTCTGTGCTCTATTTTTAATATTTTATTATCTACCACTCAAGCTGCGAAACAAATATGAAGCTATGTTTGCGTACCCAATTTAAGGCGTGTATGTTTTGAACGAGAACTTTGCAATGCTTGTCCATTATTCCTTAACAGTGAGAGTCGAGTGTGAGACTAAGGCTGCCAAGCACGGGCAAGACCCACCGATCTTGTTGAGGACGAGGACCAGGCGCTTGCGCTTGGCCAGCACGTACTGCTCCAGCTGGGGACTGCGGGTGCCCAGGGGGTCCCTCGCATCCAGCACCTCCAGCACCACGTCCGCTCCCTCCACCACCTGCACGAGCCACCACCTTTGGCCCCACTCGTTACGTACAACAGCGCTTGTGTACACAAGCACTTCCTTGTCATAGGTGACGAGGAAGTGCTTAGTGTGCCGACAGCCACACGACCATCGAGACGTACAAGCCCGGTCGTTGACGTTCGCATCAAGGGCAAGTTGCTTCAGTTGGTGGTGGACACTGGCTAATCGGTGTCCATATTGCGTACCACGGGTGGTTCGTTTGGGATTTTGCAAAGCTTTCTGCGCGCTCATGCACCTCACGAAAGACGGTGCGAACATTGAATGGGGAGACGATCAACAACAGGCATTCTATGAGCTAAAGCTACGACTCCAATCGCCAGCGTTGCTTGGCCACTTCGACCAATCGGCCGAAACGGATGTTCACACGGACGCCAGCAATACGGGACTCGGCACGGTACTGGTCTGATGACAAGAGGGCACAGAGAATGTGATCGCCGATGCAAGTGGAGCGTTTTCAAATGTGGAACGAAACTGCTCGACGATCGAGAAGGAACGTCTCGCCGTCGTCTGGGCCGTCACGAAATCCTGCCTGTACTTATATGAGAGACGTTTTCAGGTGGTTGACGACCACCACTCGTTGTGCTGGTCAGCGAGCTTGAACAACCGATCAGAATGCCTCATCACTCGATTTGACCGTGGCTTACAAGTCAGGCCGAAAGCACAGCGATGCCGACTGCCTGTCCAGAGCCCCCGTCGAGCCGGCTACCGGCTGCACCAAAGATGGCAATGACGACGGTTGCGAACCCAGTGAAGTGTGCGGGTCCATTCGTGTTGCGAACCTAAAAGCTTTCTATGAGCCCGAGGAGGTAGATGTGTCGCAGGTTCCAGATGATGCTCATCCGGACCCCCTCTCGGAAGATTCCACGCCGTCTCTGCCGTGACACAACCCGAGACGGCGGTGAAGACGACAAAAAGAGCACGAGCTCCAAGTGCATTCTATTCATGCCCTCTTTGGTTTTTTGGGGGAAGACAAGAAAGTGGCGGTGCTCCCGTATGCACAGTTGAGCAGGTGTCAATCTTGGGCGCGGCTACTTAGTCCTGCCACACCATGGCCTTGTGTTGTTTTTAATTTCTAGCGCCCCGTGACAGACACGTAGTGGCGGCGGTGCAGCTCCCATCATCAGACTTGCCACAGCCGCACGGGTACAGTCCAGAAGTACTGACGTCAGACCAGTGCTCGCCCATCTGTGAAGACCCTCGCTGACACAGAAGGCAGGCTGCCCAAGACCTTCTAAGACGTCCCCAATCTGTTTTTTGGAAGGAGGGAGATGTGTGGGCAACCTGGGGATCGAAACGTCAGCCAAGGTTGCCCATCTGCGAAATCGTTAGGGGTCATTTCTACCACGAGGGGGCCAAGGGCAACTGGCCACGCGAGCAACGCTCCGCCGCTGATGAAAGGGCGTCGCAGCGTATGTGCGTGTCGTGTCATTCCCCCAGATGGGTAGCAAGAAGAGAATTCCCACAGGTTGTCTCATGAACTATTCCCGAAGAACTCGCTATTCTAGCAAGCGGCAACGTTCTGGTGGTAAACATTCATCCAAAGTCGGTTGGTTTCGCAGCAGACTCCTCTTGGCTGGCAGACGACAGCTCATTCAACCATGACTCGCATTTGGCGCAGCGACACAAACGCTCCCGTGACGTGGCGTCACGTGCCCCGCTCCGACGCTCTTATTGGGTCGTAGAGTCCTCCGTTGTTGACCGAGTCGTCGTGAAATGGAGTTTCCGTCGAGCGTCCGGCTGCGGAGCGACTTGCAGCGGGCGTCTGCCACATCTGCTGCTGCACCACCGTCGCACTGCGAGGCTTTGAAAAAAACACAAAGAACCATCAACCCATTGTGAAAAAGAGTGGTGTACCACATCCCTATGGCATCTGGGTTCATGTACGTTGGACAGACTGGCCGGAACACGTGTAAACATAAAAAGAGCGGCGGCGTTAAAATCTGCCAATTGTGAAATTGCAAAGCACCCTGACGAGCGCACCGATTGTTTTCCGGAGTGGACAAAAGTAAAAGTACCCGCCAAGAAATAGAAAAAAAAAGCTCCGAGTGAAAAAGTGATAAAAGAAACTATTCGTACAACGAGCGCCGGAGACTGTATAAATATGTCCTCAATTGTGTCAGACGCTGAGATGAGGTCTTTTCTTTCTGTTTAGGTCTTCGAGGTCGGTGTCGGGGCAAAGAAAGTTCCTTCGTAGCCCCTCAATCACCGGACTGTGATGTGGAGTCGACGGTTATTGGCACCAAGGGTCCTTTGCCGACCGCTCAGACCTCGTCCATTACCGTGTCCTGTGGCGTTAGCCTCGTTTCGTGATTTCTCATCTAGATGAAGGAGGGGACGTGTGAAAATTAATTTTGCGGCCGAGTTTTGAGATGGTCTTGAGTTGTCCCTAGCCTCAAGATTTTTTTTTTTTTTTTCCACCGTGGTTGTTGACCAGCTTGCCCACGCAGTAACCTCTATTTGAACGAGGATCGCTGCAGGTAACGGCGTGACAGTTGTACAACGTCATGGGGCGGAAATCGAGACTTATAAGGACGCGGTAAACACGCCTGTCCAAGACGTGCTCCAAGCATCAAAGTTACGTCGGTCGGGAGTCGTAGACAAACGAGTCATTTATGCTCCTCATTTCCAGCAGTAAAGTAAACTGCCAGGGGCACGGCATCCACTGCCCGGACGGGAAAAGGCTCAAAGGGCATGCAGCTACGCGAGCCAATGCCCCACCTTCCTGAACTCCTGGTAGTGGCACTTGGCATTGAGCTCCTTGAGCAGGTGGCCCTGGTTGGTGTTCTGCAGGTGCTCCTTCAGCAAGCTCTGCGGCACAAACAGCACAAAATGAATACGTCGAAATAACATTTCATATTTTTCAATAATAATGTTTCCTGCACTAGACAGAGCAGTCAATAGCATAAACACTGGCTGGGTGGCGCAAGCCGCCAACCAATTGAAAAGGTTCAGCCATGTGCATCCATCCATCCATCCATCTACCTATCCTGAGGAATTCGTACCACGAGGGTCACTCGGTGAGCGACCCGAGCCGTTCTAATGGCACAATACTACTTACATTTATTGATTCCAGATATATACAATATTTTCTGGACTGGTCTATAATCTGCAAATTTGAATAAAGAAAATGTTTTCCCCAAGATGCTTTGCACCTGCTGCCACACAAAGAAAGCACTCATTGGCGGCATACCCCAAAAAATACCCGCTCGATTAGCGCACCAACAAGCGTATATCGTACAGAAAGCATCGCTGAAGCCCGACGTGCAAAAGTTTATTCTTCCCAGCAGAAAATTGACCTCTGCTCTTTCACTTGACCCCTCACATTTCCTTCTCACTTCCTTACATCCTTCTCGCACGCTACGCAAGTGGCTTCATGACTAAATTGCGGATGTTTTTACGGATATCTGTTCGTCGTTCACAGCTGAACTGGCACAGAAGGATTACTATTGTCTACTGCCATAGCCACTTTCTATAAAAATGAGCTCATGAAGAGATTAATACACATATCAGGGATGGGACAGATGGAACTGGTTTTGGAGCAACTTTTGAAGCAGAAAAATCTGAATTTTGGAGCACTAAGGCTGACATTTTTCTCTTCTAGGAGCACCTTAGGAGTAAAATGTGACATCATTTGAACAAAGCATACCAGGCAGTTGTACCGTGAGTTACAATTCAAGCAAAGTAGGATTGAACTACAAGTGTTGGAAAGTATTCAATGGAACTTTACTGTGAAATACATGAAACTGCACAGAGATATATTTTATTTTAGGAACAAATTTTTTACCAAAAATCAAGGGGCACGACTAGGGATCATTAATGCTCCATACTATGTTGCATCATACATTGCAGCATGTACAATGCAACAGTATGATGAAGGGATGTACAGACGTGTACATCGAATCCATCGTGTGGATGGATAAATGAACGGTACGGCTAAACCAAGGAATCGGGCAGCGGCTTGTACCACTTGGCAATGGAATAGCCAAGGTTGTCGGCCGAGTTTTCACTTTTCGCTAAATCAAGCGTCACCGTGATCTTTTCAAAAGCGTCGGAAATGAAGCGTCACCGTGATTTCACATTTTTGACTCCGCTAGGCGCAGGAAATTGTGAATGTATCAAAGTGGCGCAATTGGAGCAGCTGTCCCAGCCCCGACGAATGCAAAGTAAAAATGCGAGTCAACAAGCTGACTCACAATGTGCTGAATCGCGAAGAAAAGTCAAATTCACAAGTTTAGTGCTCACTGTTTCATTTTCGAGGACACCAACTTTTGCTGAACATCACCGAGTGTGAAACAAAAATCAACTTAATGATGCCTGGAAGCATGTAAGCATGTAAGTATGCTTTCCAACATATACTCGGAACATGAGAGCAGCAGGCCCACGTGGGGCCTGAGGGACCCACCAGGCCCTCAAACTCTGCAGCCCGCTTCTCGGCGTCCTGGCGCACGTCCCCGAGGTCCCTGTTGCTCATCATGAGCTGCTGGCGGCCCTCCTTCTGCCGCTGCCGCGTCTCCTTCCTCAGCTCCTCCTGCCGCCGGTGCAGCACCTGCGCCTCCTTCAGGATCTCCTCCTTGAAGGGCAGGCTGTTCGGGATCCCCGGGTCCTTGGCCTTGTCTGCAAGGGACAGACTTTGGCAGAATTCCCCCGACCGCTGCACTCTTTCCACTTGAGAGATTGCCAGAGGCGAGTCCCTCCTCTCCGCTCAAAGGAGGAGGGCTTTGTGGGATAGCCCCATCCCTCTTAGCCTGTACGGAGAACAAGGCGTAGGGCGGTTCCGCCAAACGCTTTCCGGTAAGTCACGGCACACTGATGAACGGTGGCAGCCCCGTTTCTTTGCGTGCAGACGACTAGGTATTGGCATTGTTCTTCCTTCCGGTGAAACGCACAAGGATGAAGAGCTGCTCCGTCGAGGACGAAGCTCGTTAATCATGTGGGAGGTTGCATTTGGGTCGTACGAAGACGCACATACTCCGCCTTCTTTCTTTTCCAAGTTGCTTCGGCGGCATCTACCGGGGTCATTTTGGCCTCCAACGGGTTGACTTCTCCATCAGCGGCTCGTCTTAAGTCTGAATAAAAACAGGTATGTATAAAACTCGAGTACCTGCTGACGCTCTTCCCGACCACCAAAGGTTTTTGACGGAAGGTTTCTACTGTCCACTAGGTGCCTCGCTTTCAAGGGCAACACTGATTCTACGCTGCAATGTGAGAAATCCGACGTGTTTCGTATGCTGAACAATGAAGATGACCTCCTCTCGTTTGCCATTTTGCTCGACTTCCGCAACCCCTATAGTTCGCTGATGTTGCGATTAGCTGCAAAGACGTTAGGTTTAACGATGTCAAACGTCTATGCCTCTGTTACCTGTCCCCAATAAAATGATCCCCGAACCATGGACGATGGATCAGTGGATGCCACCCACAGTAGGCTCGTTATAATTCAAACTCGGATATTTTATACTTCCGGTTAGTTCAAACAGATTTAAAAATTTTTATTGTCCCGCTGTGTTTTTAATGAATTCATAAGCAGCTTAATTCGAACGGTGTTTTCGTGTCATTTCTACTTTCTCCTCTCGTGGCCTCGTCAAGTGCGCTTTTTTCCAAGCACCGGTGCACCGCAAAGAGGCAACACGCGCGGGTGTTGCTTCTCCACAGTGCACCGGTGCTTGTTAAAAAGTGCACTAATTGAGGCTCAAGTGGAGCACCATGAGCTATGAAAACGGGCACCACGCTGAAATTTCCATAGCAACTTGCGTGGACACTGTGATGAGGCAGTATGGCATAGGCCAGGGGTGGCCAGGCTGACCCGGCCTAAGAGCCGCAAACAAGACCATGAACCTTCCAAGAGCCGTGTGGGGGGGGGGGGGGGGGGGGGGGGCAAACTTTTGTTTAGAGCAATAAACAAAACTCGAACTACTTACAATCTATCCGAGTCAAAAACAGTCCAATTATACGTAAGGTAGCAGTAGCACTACACTATACAAACCGCAACCTACCTTTCAATTTAAAACCCGTTCCAATTCTTTTTTTTGGGGGGGGGGAGGGGCAAATGGGAGGGAGCCGCGAGCCGCACTTTAACACACGAAGAGCCGCAGCTTGGCCACCCCTGGCATAGGCCCATGTCACAGCGGCTGCACAAGTTGCTATGAAAACTGCCACGTGGTGCCCGTTTTCATCGCTTCTGTCCCCTGCCATTAGACAACATTAGACCACAAGACAGTCCATAATAATTTGCGCATGCAATTTATAAAAAAATTGGGGTAGGCCATGTCTGCGGGGGGAGCAAGCACACAAAGTTTAGAAAAAGCTAAAGAAACACCCCTTTTTCTGTACATGTCTAGCACAGCTGCACAGGAGATACATTCAACTTGAATTAGTATCCATTTCCTCATACTTCGTCTTACATGTCCTCATCCTCAATATTCCTGTTGTAGCCTCGAATAACAATGCACCAATGTTCCCTCCTTATTTCCTGTTTTCGTACCCGATATAAGAGCCGACTTTCCCCGCATTCTTTCCCTTTCACGAAGGTAGCCTGCTCTGCCCTAGCACTTGACTCCTGGTATTTGAATGTCAGTTTTCAGGTTCGGTTTTCCCATTCACAGCGACTACACTCGCGCCGCGCTGTTGCCAGCCGCGATCCTGGCGGCAACGGAGCGGCCAAGCTGGATGCAGCAGATGCCTGTAGGTCGATCGTCAGCCACACAGGTCACGGAAGCTCGAGCAGCCATCGGCTGAGACGACCCTCGCGTTCCTTCCTGTAAAAACTGGCATTCCCAGAATCCGACAGCGTGACACGCCGGCTTAATTGGCTGCCGGGACCCTACATCCATGACCCATTCTTCTAGGCACTGTAGTGTATGCTCAATCACTCGTGCCTGGCTTTGACAGCATTCTTTGCAATGCAAGGAGTAATAACCTTAATATGCCAGATCTTGACGCTCGAAAACAACGAATGGTGTCGCAAAAATGAAGCCGCCTGTGCACCGTAGCATTGCGCCGTGTGTTCAAGCAGAGATACTGGATCGTCCCGGCATCCCTCCCCGATTGCGAAGAAATATTGTCATCATCGTCACTCACGGTGAGTTGGGTTTTTCTTGGCCTCCCGGCGTTTCTTCTTCAGATGCTGTCGGACCTGAAACGACGAGGCAAAGGTTGAACGCTTCGGCAAAGCTAAAAGCTACGTGAACGGACTTCGCCACCTCACCGATGCAAAACGATAGACACTGCCGTAGAAGAAGAAGAAAACAGATTACTGCTCCTCAACGGCCATAGCCGCAGTCAACCCCTGAAGAAGAGACCGAGCTGGTCTCGAAACGTAGGGTTTTCCTTTATACAAGGATTTGGTTGGTGTATATTCTATTTATTATTATTAAAGCTAAAAGTAGGAACACGACGTTACCTTTTTCTCCACCTTGTAACGTTGACGACATGGCACCCGTTTGCTCTGCTTTTCTGAAAAAATACACCTCGTCAACGCTTACTCACATCGAACAAGATCGAAGCTCACAGACATGCGGATGTCCAGCGAATCAACCATTCTATACGTCTGTAACGTGCTTGTCGTTCCAGTGAAACAAGACGGGACTTACTACTGATTTTGGGCATGTCTGAAAGGGGAAGTTCGTGGGGCACGCGCCCGAAAACACAAAACGCCGCGACAACAATCCCACACAGCACACGAGTTGACACGAGTAACACCTGAAACCTGAGCAACACGAGTCCTCTGTGGATTGGATTGGATTTTGGACTTTTGGATGCATTGACGTTTGACAACTACGCAGTTCTCTAATCAGTGCAACAAAGCATACTAAATATTTAAAAAAATACTCAAACACAATAGCAATTACATTATCAACATTATTCAAAAGTAATATAACTTCCTAGACTCGTTGGTTGAAAATGTTTGACCGGCTACTAAACCCCCTGGCTCGGCGTGGTTGTTATTATAACGCGCGCGTAGTCTTGCACAGGCTTCACGACCACTTTTTTTCCGAATTCAGACCCGTGACCGGAGTTTGTCAGATTTCCCCGCTAGCGATGTTTGAACGAAATTAGCTCGGAGCTCGTCGAATCATTCAATTGGAGCAACAAAATGTGTAGACCACTTTCCCCGTCGCCGTACTAAAGCCAGGTCCGGCTGGGCGAAACGCTATGGCGTCTATGCAGGTACGTACGCTCGGCAACTTTCGCTCTCTTTCCGCGCATTTTGGCGTGAAAAAGAAATTGACCGGAGCCCACATAGCGAGCCCTCGGCGACTGACCTGACCAGCCGAAGCCAGGAAAGGCGGCAAAGCACGGCGCCGATCCGTCTGCCCGGACGGAGTTTCGGTACCGCGCCGTGATCGAAGGCAGCTCATGTCGGAGCTCAGTGTTGTCGCAGTGTGCACGCTTGCCTGACCCGCTTTATCTTCGTTTTGCTTTCTGCTGGGAAACAAAGAGGTGCCGCTTCTCCGAATTTCAGGCAGTGCATGTCTAATGGACACTTCGACCACGTCCAGTTCGGGGAGTCTTATCGCAGTACGTTTTGCCCAGCTTTCTTCTCCTCCAGCCTTCTTGGGCCGCCTGTGTGTGTGTGCATACCGTGCAACGCGCCTGTTGCCCAGACAAAGTCTCGGCCGCCCGTGTTCAAGGCCGTCTCCTGTGTTTTCCTCTGCGATCGTTTCGATGAACCGGTCATCGCGTCACGGGACAGCTTTCGGACATGTCTACTACCTGCCGCCTGAGTCCCTTTGAAGGGGCCACGTAAATCACGTTCCTAGCGTGTCGAGCTAAGATTCTGTACAGAGGTGGACGAAGCTGGTGTTTTTTTGTGTATAAAATCGTCAAGGAATGAGTTTACCCGAGTAAAGAGTATTAAATTAAGAGCGCGAATTCGCTGCCTACAGTGGCCGTCTGCTAAAGAGACGTCTGATTGGCGCAACGGCCGACAGATGGCGGCAGCTGTTGACATACAGCTGAAATGGCCGAAAAAGCGTCTTTCTTATTGGTTTTGTGTCTGTTCGCCGCTTAATTAGTCAAAATAACAAAATCTTGCTCTAAATTGAAATGCCCGCTCCAGATTTTCATAAAAAAAAGATTGTCTGCTCTCGGAGATCAGTGCCCTCTCCCTTACCTGTTGTCGCTTTAGATAGCAGACTGTAGGAGGTGAATTCACGCTATTGATTTCTTTCCTCGGGTAAGCTCATTCTTTGAAATTGGGATACACAAACTGCGCAAGCGTCCGTTGCCTCTGTACAAAGTCTTAGCTCGTTACGTCAAGAAACTGATTGGGGCAGTCCCATCAAAGGGCCAACATCTCTTCGACTCACATTGTATTGTTCTGCTCACAGTGCAAGTTGCACCGGGTTAGAGATTGGCCAGAAAGGACTGATCTCTCGCTGATATTGTAAAGCTGATTGTCGACGAGTCAAAACATAAAGACCAATGCACTACCGTAGAATACCGCATATTCGCCCATACCACAGTAGGCGCCCATACCCAAATTTGTAAGATCTGAGAAAATATGCACAGTACATTGATATGTAAAATTGATAACCAGGCAAGCACTTATCCCCCATTTTTTCGCGATTATCTCTGAATTTGGAGTGGGCGCTTGCCCGGTATTTTACAGTAATTTAAAAGTGTGCACGGCCACTTTGAGCAGGCTGGAATGAATCAAGGGTAACGGTAACCTCGGAAAGTTTGGAGTTCTGGGCATTCTGTGTGTACCACAAGATGGCACTGACTGTTTCTGTTGGGCCGGAGCTGTATATACACAGATTCATGTTTGCAAACAAACCAGTGTGCGCCTAGCGGCCAAGCACATGGGCAATGGGTTGCGGGCAATAAGCGCACCCGAAGATCGCCTTTTGCCCAAATAATGTCCGTATAGGCGCCACAGAACGGGCGCTAAAGCCCGATTCGCACAATGAGATTCTGCTCACTTTCTTCTGTTGTGACGTCACTCAAGCTCCAAAAGAAGCATAAAAAGGAACTGCGTTACTCGATGTCGAAATTAAGAATCGCAAGCGGGATCGGATTGTGCGAATCACGCATAACAAATCTGCGATCGCCACCAGTTACAGTGGTGAATGTCCCCTTGCATTTACTGTTCAGAGCGAGCCAATTTACCGAAACACACATAAAGTTTGCGCATCTATAGAGGACTATAATTACTTTGTATCCCAATTACCGTGTCGACGACGCGAAAACCCTCAACGCGGTGTATGGGCTGTTGTAACTTGAACCTGAAGACAGTCGTTCAAACGTGAAAACGACCGTTTCAATGTGAAGACACACCGAATACACTCCGGGTGGTTCAAACCACTTGACACTTTTCCCGCGTTTGTGTTGGAAGAAAACAAATAATTCTAAAGAAAACGAGCCTCCACGAATTCACCCCAAAGTGCTTCCCGCTCATGCGATCATGTTTGGACAGCGTCTATCCACATTCTTGGGCAGGTTAGACAAAACTGACCTTGACAGCTTTCCCAGCCCTCTCGCTGTAGCCTCAGTCTACACACCTCGCGGAATCTGGAGAAAAAGGCAGAGTTTTACCAAAACAAGATATGAATGCCCGGCCAGCATGGCATTTCTTTCCCCAGACTGGAAATGTGTCTGAAGCGCCACTACCGCGGCATGACTGAGGAGAGTTGATTTGGTGTATGGGCAGAGAAGGGTGCTTCATTGGCCCAAGGCAGGACCAACACGTCGGCAGATAAAGACTGGTTCGGAAATTTTCGCTCAAGTGCGACAAACTGTGTTGCAGCACGGTGCGACCTTGGTTGCCACGGGAACCATCTCATCCTAAGCAGTCTTAAGAGGTCGCAAGTAACATTATTTGCTAGATCCCTCATTCGCTCCAGCCCGGACTCAAGGAATCATTGGAACGGTGTTCCTTCAGTCCCCTCGTGATTGGTAATTTCGACCAATTCGATGCTTACACGCTTTTGAGTGTAATACAGTATTATTTTCAATCAGCGTCCTGTAGATTGCAAAGACCTACCATATCACTTCTAAAATTTCTCGTCGATGTCGGTGTTTTTCACGCTGCACGCAATCCACCCTTCAACCTGGCTGAGCTACAGAGATCTCTTACAATATTATCATTCTCGTACAGCTTCAGAAACGCCGATATTAACTTAGAAACTCTAAAAATGCTCTAAACATCCTGGCTGACTCCGAGCTAAATCCTGGTTTTGGTGGTTGCGAATTCTGGCCTTTTTAAGCAAATTCTGGTGAAACAACAATCAAAAGAATGATAATATTAGTGATGGAAGTGCTGCGCCATTTGCGCCAAATTGCACCCTGAACGAATGTCTGCTACATCTTGTGCCAAAGTGCCATTTTTGCTTAGAATTGTGCCATACCTGCACTAACATAAGCGAAGCAAAACAAAGGTTTTATTATTGTTTGGCCCTAATATTTAGAGAAGTAGGAGGAAAGAAAAATGGTACAAATATGTATTTGAGAGCATCTCTACTCACCTTATAGTTTGTTACATCTTAGGTCATAGTACAGTAATGCTTTGTAGGGACTTCGAGGTATAATAAATAAATAAAATGCAACCACAAACGCATACTAAAAATGCAAGTCATGGCACATTTGCTACACTTGACTTGTTTAGTTGACGAAGGACCACACGCAGGAAGATGGACGAATGCCATGATGTCGTGCTTTGACGCTGGTTGATCTCAGCAGCGGCTGCGCTTTAAATGAAGGCGAAACAAAATATTGAGATTGCTCGTCAACCGCGCTGGTTGGTTGATGCGCTAAGATTGATCGCCAACATATTTCCAATGTCGGCGATGTGAGGAGATAAAAGTAGCGAGAAAACATTGCCAAATTGTAGGATGGCGGCTGCTGTGATAAGTAGAGCCCCGTGCGGATAACAGTGATCATTCGCATTTGCATCCGCAGACTTCATATCTGCATCCGGACTGCATCCGCAATGTTCTTAAATAATTGTATTCGCATCCGATCCACATCCGCAGGCTTTGTATCCAAACCACACCCGCAAAATTCGGAACCGCACCCGACCCTTAATTTGCACATTCATTTTACACCATAAAATCAAGCGTGAATAAAAATGAACAAAAGCGTCTGGATGGTACCCTATGTGCCGTCTGCTTAGTACCTTTGTACAAAAACTTTTCGTGTCAGAATACGGTGAAAGTCATTTTATGGTATTTATAAAATAAGCAATCATCCTTCCGGAGAGACTTCTCATCGCTGGAAAGATGATCGCAGTTATGAGATTGTCTTGTAAGTCCCTGACACTCTGTCTAGAACATGCGCTCAAATGGAAGGGAATTTTTTTTATTTTCCTTTTTGCTTCATAAAACTTACTTCAAGCAAGCACATATTAAAAATTAACGAAGGACAGATTGATAACATTGTGTGATTTTATGTAGGCCAAAAAAAAATTTAAGGGAGGAAAGGTACTCACTCTCCGCAGCAAAGCGTGTGTATGTGGTAAGGCGCGAGTACACCACTGGGAAAATATCGCAATATTCAATAATGGCAACACCTGTCTGTTTCAGTTTTCAACACAAACCCTCAACTTCATGCTCGGAGCCATATACTTAAAAACAACTCGGTGCCAACTGTGGAGAAAAAGAAAATGCACACACACAACGTTTCACTTGTCGAGGTCCTAAAGAAACAGAATATTGTCAACATGGACGGACCTAGGTTGGTTCGCCTCTCTTAAATTAATACCCGCTAATGAGAAGTCTCTCTCCGTTGGTGCACTTAATGCTGGAGTGGCACGCACAAACTGCGCTACAAGAATGAGGTACGAAAACTCGTGCTGGCGCAAGTTCCACCACTCCAGAGGATTGAATTCCGTCTCCTCGATCTACATGTAGGGGAAGAAGCCACTTGCAGGCTTCTACTTTCTTGTGGCTCGTACGTTTTGGGTTTCCTTTGCCCAAAAAAAGTTTTCTACTCTTTCCCTACCAAACAAGAACACGCTTTCCCGGGACGACTGATGCTCCTGCATTCTTTACTTATTCTAGAGACAGCATTTTTGGCAAGATGGAACGTTCTGAGGGGACCTTTAGGGAGAATAAAATCTTTTTTGGCATAAGGGACAATTTTTTCCCCAAACGGCACCTTTTATCTCCGAGAATAGTTTTCTCTTGCAGTACATTCAGTGATGCACTTCATAGTATTACTCACTAATTTACTGCGCAGTCGTTTATGGGCCCCCTCGGCAAAAATGTAGATCCGGACTTGCGGATCTCCAATCCACAGCCCCTGGCATCCGCATCTGATCTGCAGTCCACCAAACCTGATTCATTTTTATCCGCATCCGCGGGTAATCCACGGATATGCTGGGCTCTGGTGGCAAGACAAGACCAGGGTCTTGTACTCCCGGTGTGAGCACTTAGTGATTGTGTCTGCCGCATCACCAGCGCGCACATGTCGAGCTTCACCGCTTTGCATTGGAGTGTTAGGTGCAGCGGCTGACATGGGTTAGTGCATTAAGCTCAGCAGTTATGCTCAATACTATTGCGGGTCTACTTTTTTTTTTA